CATAGCTTCACTCTGTTTTTAACGTCTGGCTGAGTCTTAGAAGAAAAAGTGATAGCTGATTTATCTTGGTTGATTTTTTGTCCTGAAGCCATCTCATACTTGTGTAGGATGTTCTTGAGGGTGGAGCAGCTTTGTGGGTCAGAACGGCAGAAGAACATTGTGTCATCTGCAAAGAGTAGGTGATTTACACGGGGACTTCCTTTTGACACTCTAATACCAGGCAATCTTCAATGATCCTGAGCAATATTGCAAAGGCCTGACAGCACCTCACTGCAGAGAATGAAGATATATGGAGAGAGTGGGTCGCCTTGCCTGATGCCCCGTTGAGGTAGTACCATTCCTTTAGCTTGACCATTCAGCAGATAGGAATAAGACACAGTAATAATGCATTGCATCATCCATTGTGTCCATTGTTTGTGAAAACCCATTCTGTCCAAGACAGCCTTAATAAAATCCCATTCCAATCTGTCATAAGCCTTGCTCATGTCTGTCTTGACTGCCATAAAACATCTTTTGGTTGCACCAGAGGTCTTAAGATAGTGTAGAGATTCATGTGTGATCAAAACATTGTCAGAGATGGCTCTAAGAGGGACAAAAGCAGACTGATTTTCTGAAATACAAGTTTGGAGGATTGGTTGCAGCCTCTTTGTTAGCAGCTTTGATATTATCTTGTAATACACTGAGCACAAAGCAATGGGTCTGTAGTCTGAAACTTTCTGTGGACTTGAGATCTTTGGAATCAGCCTAACATGAGTGTGGTTGATATTTTTTGGCAGGATTCCAGAAATGAAGAAAGATTGTACCTCAGCAATAATCTCCTTCTCCATATTGTCCCAATTGGATTGGAAGAAACTGGCTGAGAAGCCATCAGGTCCAGGGGCCTTGTCCGGGTGAATTGCAAAGCAGGCTCTTTTGATTTCTGCAGGGGTGGGCATGCTGATGAGTCCTGCATTCATTTCCTCGGAGATGCATGGTTTTAGAGCCTCATTCACTACATTACCCTTGTTACCATCTTGAGAAGTGAAAATATTTTGGTAGTAGCCTGAAATTGCCAGGATGATATCATTTTCTTCAAAAACAGGTGTCCCTGTAGCTGATTCAATGACTGAGATATTGTTAACAGCTCTTCTACCCTTTGTAGCCGCATGGAAATAACCAGTGTTTTTATCTCCCAGAGTCAACCACAGTTGGCGACTTCTTTGCTTCCAGAATTCTTCTTCTTTCTGGTAAGCAATCAACAGGTTTTGGTTTATTTTATTTAGCTCCTCTTGGTTATCCTCAGGCTCACACATCTTCTCTTCCAGCATTAGTCTGAGGGAGTTTATTTCCTTTTGACTATTAGTATGTTGTTCTTTACACCAGGTGATGATGGCTCTTCTGCAGTGTTGTAGTCTCATTTCAACAGTGGCTTTTTTATCCATCTTCCAGGCTTTCAGCACCAGATTCTTCACTGATTCATTATCTCTTAATCGCCTATCATACCTGAAGAGGCTTGTTCTCTTTTTCTTTAGGGGATCAAAGGAAGTAACCAGGGGGCGGTGATCAGATCCTTCAAAGCGCAAATACTCACTACGGCCCGAGGGATACTCCATTGTCCAATCACTGTTAGCCATAGCTCTATCAAGCCTGCACCTAACAAGGTGGTTGTGTCTTTTACCTCTCCATGATAAGTAATTGCCTGTGTGTTTTAAGTCATAAAGATCACAAGAAGACATAAATGATCTCAGGTCAGTAAATGAGCTTTCAGGTCTTGGTGGGCCACCAACTTTTTCATTGCCATTGATGATATCATTAAAGTCTCATGTGAGGAACCAAGGACCAGATCTATCTCTGGCTAACTCTTGTATTTGTATCCAGACTTGAAAGCGCTTTGTTCTATCAGGTTCTCCATACAAGAAGGTAGCAAAAAATGATCTTCCTTTTGCTGTGATTTTTGTATCGATGAAGTGTTCACAAGAGTTCAAGATCTCTACTTCAATGTTCTGTTTCCAAAACAGGGATAGTCCACCTGCAGCAGTGGCGGTTGGAGGGACCAGAAAATTTGAAGGATAACCCATCCATTGTAGGTGTTGTAAGACAAACTCAGAGTTATTTTTTGTCTCCATTAGGAACAGAAGGTCAGGGGAAATCTTTTTGTGGATTTCCCTTAATCGCTGGCCTGTCATGGGGTTCCTAAGCCCACAACAGTTCCAGCTCACCACTCTTAAGGAAGAGGGGTTTGCTGCTTCTGAAAATCCACCTTATTCTTTTGTATTGCAGGGATCAATGGGATTTTCAGTGCAGCATTCTTTGGTCCTTTTGTCTTGCTGGTTTTGGAGCTATTTCCATCTTCAGAGTGAGTGGATTTTCCTTTAGAACTGGCTTTGTTGCTTGGACCCGCCTGTGAGTCACTTTGGACAGCTTGCTTTTTCTGGTTTGCAACCTTCTTTGGAGATCCATTAGTTAGGTTTCTTTTTTGTGATTTTGCTCCCATCAGCTTGGGAGAAGGTTTGTTTGTGTGTTTTGCCAATGGAGGCCTTCCTCTTCCTCTCTTTACAACAGTCTCCTTCTCTTTTGAAAGTTGGGGGAGATCCTCACTTATTGTTGGTCTGTCTGCAGGGATTCCAGGTAGAGGATTAAGGTCCATGTGTGATAATGAGGGGGCTGAACTCACTGCAGCAGCAATGATTTGATCTGCAGTGTTGGACATTAGTTGTTTTGCTTCCCCTTGCAACACTCTCTGTTTCCTGGCCGCACTCTCTGTGGGATCTACACATGTGGTGTATTGGACCGTGACTTCCCTTAATTCTCCCATAACTTGTTCTTTTGTAGGGATTACAGGTGGTGGAGAGGAAATCTCCTGAGTATTGGTGAACCTCTCCAATGGAGGTCTGCGAGGTCTGGAAGAATCAGAGATTTCTTGGAAGGATCTTGAGAGGGTTGGAGTTCTCTCTCTCCATTGTAAGTTTCCTCCTTTTGAGTATCTGCTATTTCTGCGATGAGAAGGGTACTCCCTAAATTCCCTACTGTTTGATTTCCCATAGTGTTCAGATGATCTTCCAACAGAGAATCTCTGGGAATGGTTGGGTTGATTATGGGATCTTACTTCTGTTAGGGAGTTTTCTCTGTCTTTACCCGTAGCAGCTTTTCTTTTTAAAGGGTTGTGAACATCTCTTGAAGAGGGTCTGTAGTCTCCCTCACCATACTTGTCTCTAGGAGCAACAAAATTGTCACTTGGAGCATAGTAGTTTCGGGACACTGCCTTTGAACCAGGAGAGGGTGCCCTAGGCTTGTTCTTCTGGGTTACTTCTTTTTCATGAGTGAGTCCCGGGCAGTCCTTTTTTTCATGGGAAAGTCTATGGCAGTGAAGACAGTGGTTCTTTAGGTTCTTATAGTCCAGAGTAACTAGTGCTTCATTGCCTTCAGAGAATTCCACCACTGTTTCCTTAACCAGGGGTTGTAGGCCATCAATGAGGACGCGTATTTTTGCTGTTGCAGGGGTTATTTCCATATCCATGACCTCACCTAGTTCGTCTCCTAGAGTCTGGAGCATTTTTGGTTGCCAGAAGTGTTTGGGGAGGCCCTGGAGCTCAATCCATAATGGGATCTTTGAAGGGAAAGAGTCAGAAATAATCGGCTCCCATTTTTGGAGAATCACCATCCAATGGTCATAGTGGTATGGTCTGTTGTCAAGAACCTTTTGCATATCCTCTTCATACTCAAAGCAGAATTAGAAGCAGCCTCTTCCAAGGTCTGAGCCTGTAGCTTTTCCACGCAGGTTCCAACGGTTTGATAAGAAAGGAAACAGGGACCATAATCTTTGGCCAGCAGGGTTTGTAAGTCTACCCATTAGGGTAAGGGCATTGGCTTCAATAAGCTCAGATGTATCCAGATCAGGGGCTCTGATTCGTTTCTTTGGAGGAGGGGAGAAACCAGACTCAATTCCCTTGCCTTTGAGGTGGTAGGGTATTCTTTTTTCCATGGTCTTGGGTTTTGGGTTGGAGGATAAGGTTGTAAAGTTCTTGAACACAGGTTAAAGTTCCTCACAGATGGTGAGTGGGTTTAAAAGGCTTAAAAGGTTTAAAACAGGGTTAAAACAAAGCTAGATCAGAGATGAATACCTTGGGGGGCATCCATCAGAGCTGGGAGGGTCGGAGTGAGCACCGAAGAAGAGAGAAAGCAGCATTCGCCTGAGAAAAGCTCACCGGCCAACATCTTTTGTCCGGAGGATACTTTCAAGAACATAAAAAGACCGTTGGATAAAGCTTCTTTTAGTAAAAGAGGGTGGTTGAGATCTGGTTAATAGAAAGCTTCCAGTTGCTTTTGGTTTGCATCGGGAAAAGCGCCTGGGAGAGAAAATTTTCAAATTTTCTTGTATTTTCGAATGAAACTACACCGTAACGTTTTACTAATAATAAAAATTCCTAATTAAAATCAAAATTCCCCACAAGAAATTGAAACCAAAAAAAAAACCCACGATCACACTCTCTTCTCCGCCGTGTTCGTCCCCATGGCCTTACCTCCGCCGCTTCCTCTGCCATCTCCGCCCACTGGAAGCATCATGTAAATGTAAATCTGTCAGATTTCCTCGAGTTCATAGAGATGCTTAATCATCCACGCACCTGGTCGGAGCTCTCTTCTGATTTGCTGGAATCTATTTTCGAAAAATTAAGCTTCGCAGATTTTCATCGCGCGAAGCTTGTGTGTTCAACCTGGAATTCGAGTTCGAAACGAACAGTGTCCCGAAAAAGTGAACCTCCATGGCTAATACTGTTTCCAGACTGTGAAGAAAACGTTTGTTTGCTTTTTAACCCAGAAGAAGACAGAATTTACAAAACAGAGAGAGACTTCTCAAAGATTCGATTCCTAGCAAACTCTGGTAAATGGTTTCTTGTGGTAGATTCTGGATTCAATTTGTGTATTATAGATGTGTTTAACGAGAATAAGAGGATTGATCTTCCGCCTCTAGAGTCACTCTTATCAAGTAAATATAGTCTCAAGCGTGTGAGAGATAAGGAATTTAGATGGGGATTAACTAGTGGTTCTTGTTTGGAAATGAAGACTGATAATCTCAGAGGTCTTTTATGGGTAGATGAGAAGACGGAAGAGTTCGTTGTAGTGTGGTTCTTTGACCCTGTTGGTTATTTATTCTTTTGCAAGAAAGGGGATACTCATTACACTTTCATTCCGTTGTATGACGAAGTCCCCAAGCTGTTATCTGGCTTCAGTGATCTTGTACTTCGGTGTTATCGTCTTTACATTGCTACTACTCATCGTTGCGTTCGAGTTCTAGATTTGTCTGGACATCAAGGTTTCGAGGATGTCACTGGGAGTAACCCGAAGCCGATGTTTTCGCTACGTAAATATTATGCTTCTTTTAGTATTGCGGTGACGAAAGATGGAGAGGTTTTGTTAGTCGAGAGCACGAACTTTGAAAACCGAAGGAGCTTCCGTATCTACAAGAAGGATCCTAATGCAGATCTAAATGAATACAGCCCTAATCTTCTTGAGGTAGATTCTGTTGGTGATGAAGCCCTGCTTCTCGACTTGGGTATTATCGTGCCTGCTAACCATACCATTGGTATCAAACCAAACACTGTCTATTTCACCCGTCATGATCGTGCCCGTCTTCGTATCCCTTTTGATCTGGATATTTGTGTGTTCAATCTTGCAACCAACACCCTCAAACGCTTCCCTCAACTCGCTGGCCTAAATCTCAAGGATGCTCGATGGTTTCTCCCTTTCACTTGAAAGACTTGATTCCTGCTGAACCTCGACGACTTTATTTGTGCTATTCTGAATATAAACTATGAAATTGTTTTCACTTGCTGAACCTCAAGGATCTTACTTGGGAACATTTAACTTTGTGTGAAATAAGTGTATATATAAGAGTTACAATAGTTCCCTGATCTCAAGGATGCTCAATGGGTTTTTCCCTGGGACTTTGTTCCTTTTAGAAGTTCTATGGCGAGGCGCCTTTTTATGTTTGTTTATTTCGTTTCGTTAATGCTTTTGAAATCACAATCATCACATACATATGAGTGCCTAATCAACTGAATTTAATAATGCATGGTCTGAAAAAGGCCATCTTATTCACTCCTCTTCACCAAGGATTAAGACACAATGACTTGCAATTCTTTACTTTTGTTTCATTTGTTTCAATCTCGTGTCTTGAGTTAACTAACAGAATCTCATTTCTACCATCATCATCACCATCATATCCTTATTATTATTAGAGTCTCCTAATTACACGTTTTAGAAGAGCAGCTTCGTCCCATGAACTCTTCACGGCTTATTCTTGTTCCCACTCTTTGTGGGAAACCAAACTAGTGAAGCCTTCATTTCCCTTGAATTCAATGCAGATTTCACAAGTTTTTCTGCCTGTAGAAAGAGAAGAATTCTCAACAAAGAACGATAAACACCGATACGCAGAAGTAGGGTGTAAGGAATCCAAAGCAGAAAAACAAAGATGATCAAAGAAGTAATTAGAATTATACACATTCAGAATTTCAGATGATGCCCTTGACCCATTTTAATAAAACATTTGTATTGGGCCTCAAATTTTCGAGGCCTATTTTTGTGAGGATTTTTTTTTTCTTTTTTTTGAAGCCCCAAAATTAGTAAAATCCTTGAGGTTCAGCAAGGATTTTGATGTGCTCATCTTAAGCTTCAAGCCATGTGCTCTGTTTTGAATTTTCTATCTCTATTTTCTAATTGATGTCTTAAGCACAATTTTGATGTCTTAAGCACAATTCAAAGGATTTCAGACCACAAATCTTTTGAATTTTGATGTCTTAAGCACATGGCTTGAAGCTTAAGATGGGTTTTGACCCAAGGTCCATTTATCAGAATCTTTTTCATGTGATTTTGATGTGCAAGAATTCTAAGGTCCCTGTTGAGTTAAGAAGATCTCCTCCCTGGATTCTTTGGTCGTTGTGGAAGAACAGAAACAACCTCTTCTTTGAAGGTTTGGTTTCCACACCTAAAGACATCCTTTTAAAGATCAAGGAAGATTCTGTTGAGTGGTTTCAATCAAGGAAGATTCTGTGGAGTGGCTTGGGTCTTGCGTAATTCTGAAGGCATCGTTCTTCTTCATAGTAGAGCTGCTCTTCCTTCTATTTCCTCGAAGGATGAAGCTGAACTTCAAGGTTGTATTTGGGCTATTAAAGACATGCAAAATCTTCATATCCATAGAGTGATTTTTGCCTTTGAGCCTAATGAATTGACAGGTGCTGTCCTTCGTCCTGCTGCCTGGCCTAGTTTCAAATCCCATTCTGAGAGTCTCCTACTAGCCTTGTCCTATTTACCGGCTTGGAGAGTTGTTCATGAAGATAGGAAGTGTAATCTTGGGGCAGTCTTGATCGCTAGGAGTGCCACTAGAGAGGAACGGTTCCAATCATATGTAGCAAGTGACTACCCTTTTTGGCTTCAGAAGGTGTTCGAAGATGATATATGCATTACTATTGTGTAATGAGTTATGTTGTTTGATTGTAATCGTTCCCTTTTTGTATGTGACCTTTTGTTGATGAATATATGGAATCATTCAGACGAAAAAAAAAAAAGGTCTCAAAATTAGGATGATTAAAAAAAAAAAAAAAGGCCCAAAATTTGTGAAATAAGCCTCAAAATTAACAAAAAGGCCCCATAGTTAGCAAAAATACCTCATAATTAGCAAAAAATCCTATAGTTAACAAATAATGTCCAAAAATTAAGAAAAATTGTTAAATAAAAATTAGAAATGCCCCATAATTAGCAAAAAAAAATTTTTTTAGCAGGTTTTACTTTTTAAAAAGGCCCCAAAATATTTTTTCGTATTCGGCCCCGGATTTTACCTGACCGACCCCTGTCTATGCTATCAGATCATCACATTGCTACTATAGATCGTATAGTGCGCAACAGAATCTCATCCATTTACCAGCTCCAACCCTCAAAGATAGCTGACGCTCTCCAAGTTTGGTTCCACTCGAGATCTTAAGTTTCAAGCCATGTGCTCTGTTTTGAATTTTCTATCTCTATTTTCTAGTTTTGAAAATCTCAGAAATTCAGATTACATTCTACTTTAGGATGCATATATTATAACAAAGGTTTTTTTTTTCTATAAATCTTACATTGATTTAAAAAAAAAAAAAATTATACACATTCTTGCCTACGTTATCAGTCTCTAACTTTTGTTTTGGTCTAGCTGAGGCAGACCAATGAATATTTGTTAAATATAGCGATAATGAATTATTAGTTTGTAAATTCAACGAATAGAAGAAACAAAGGTCCAAATAATTTGTTAAATACATTAGATATATTATTCACATGATTTTTTTCATGCACCTGTAATTCACAACAAACATCCGTTAACATCCGCTATCGAAACATCTATCAATAAAGAGAATTAGACGACTGGTACTTTAAAAACTACTGCAAGCGGTATGTTACATACTACCATAAGTGTGGAAGTAACTAGTAAGATGTGTGAGTTGGATTATTTGTAAGTTGGTGATATAAGATCCAAAGCTTGGTGACAGCAGATGGAGTCACGGGAAGCAATAAGTTGGGTTTAACGCTCTTTCTTGTTGTTCAATGGATGGATGCGAATCAAGACTAAGTAAAGGAATCCATCTAACTTAGATAAATAAAAAAAAACAAAGCCTAAGCTTTAGAGGAAATTCTCTCTTTTATATTCCAAAAATCTATATCTTTACAATGAATAGAGAAATGAATTTATACAGACTCAAATTACAAATGGGGAAAATGTCATTTAATAGCCCAACTTTCAAATTGTGGCCATTTGCCACACCAACTTTATAAATGGCCAATTTAAACATGACAAATACGTTGACTTTCATTTAGCACATTACAAAATCGTTGACCCCGCCAAAACACCAAGCCGTTAACAGATCCGCTAACACCCGCTAACACCCGTTACCACCCGTCATCTGGAGAAAACTTTCAACACTCCTGATGACTTCAAGCTAGCTCTTTTGAGATACTCTTTAAAGACAAGGTATGACATTAGACTCTATAGGTCTGAAGCTTTGATAGTTGCTGCTAAGTGTTGTTATGTTGGTGATGATGGTGTTCCTTGTGGCTGGAGAGTCTATTGTTCATATGAGAAAACAAAACATAAGATGCAAATAAGAGCTTATGACAATGAGCATATCTGTGTTAGATCAGGCTATTCAAAGATGTTGAAGCGGTCTTCAATTGCATTGTTGTTTGAGGAAAGGCTGAGAGTGAATCCAAAACTTACAAAAAATGAGATGGTTGCTGAAATTAAGAGGGAATACAACTTGGAAGTAACTCCGGATCAGTGTGCTAAGGCGAAGACCAAAGTACTGAGAGCAAGACATGCTAGTCATGATGATCACTTTTCAAGAATATGGGATTATCAAGCTGAGGTTTTAAAGCAGAATCCAGGGATAGAGTTTGAGATAGAGACAGTTCCAGGGCCTGTTATTGGAAGCAAGCAGAGGTTTTATAGGTTATATATATGTTTTAAAGCTCAAAAGGATTCTTGGAAGCAAACATGTAGACCTGTGATAGGAATTGATGGAGCCTTTCTCAAATGGGATATAAAGGGTCATCTTCTAGCTGCTGTTGGAAGGGATGGCGATAATAGGATTGTTCCTATAGCTTGGGCAGTTGTAGAGATAGAAAACGATGATAATTGGGATTGGTTTATGAGACACCTCTCTGCTAGCTTGGGACTCTGTGAAATGCAACATCTAGCAATCATTTCAGATAAACAGTCGGTTAGTTTTATTAGAGTTTGCTTATGGTTTTAAGTCTTTTATGAATGCTAGCTTATGGCTTATGGTCTTTTTATGAATGGTTTTAAGCTTATTTTCTTCTGTTTTCTTATGTTTTTCTGCAGGGCCTAGTCAAAGCTATCCATACTATACTCCCAGAAGCTGAGCATCGACAATGTTCAAAACATATAATGGACAATTGGAAGAGGGACAGCCATGATATAGAACTCCAACGTCTCTTTTGGAAAATTGCCCGCAGTTACACCATAGAAGAGTTCAACAATCATATGGAAGAGTTGAGGAAGTACAATCCTCAAGCTCATACAACTCTGCAGCTGACTAGTCCAATGACATGGTCAAGAGCCTACTTTAGAATAGGGACATGCTGCAATGACAACCTCAATAATCTGAGTGAGTCTTTTAATAGGACTATCAGACAGGCTAGGAGAAAGCCTTTGTTGGATTTGCTAGAAGACATCAGGAGGCAATGCATGGTCAGAACTGCAAAGAGGTATATCATTGCTGACAGATTGAAGACAAGATTCACAAAGAGAGCCCATCTTGAGATTGAGAAAATGATAGCTGGGGTTAGAAATTGTGAGAGATATATGGCCAGAAACAATTTGCATCAAATAGAAGTGAATGGTGTTAGCTACTTTGTAGATATGGAGAAGAAAACTTGTGGTTGCAGGAAGTGGCAGATGGTTGGGATCCCTTGTATTCATGCGGCATCTGTGATTATAGGAAGAAGAGAGAAGGTTGAAGACTATGTCAGCGAGTATTATACAAAGGTCATGTGGCGAGAAACATATAGGGATGGTATTAGGCCTGTCCAAGGGATGCCATTGTGGCCTAGAACCAATAGGTTGCCTGTCTTACCACCACCATGGAGAAGAGGCAACAGAGGAAGGCCTAATAACCATGCTAGAAGAAAGGGAAGAAATGAGACTGCTTCTTCTTCAAATAAGAACAAGATGTCACGGGGAAAAAGAATCATGACATGCTCTAACTGTCTGCAAGAAGGGCACAACAAGCAAAGCTGCAAAAATGCAACAGTTCTGAATCCACCACCTAGACTAAGAGGAAGACCAAGAAAAATGCCGGTATGTTTTGCTAGCTTTTACTGTTTTACATCACTGAATTCATGTAGTTGCTTATTCTAATAGACTGAAACCTCACACTTGGCTGCGTTTATTTCATTGTCAATGCTGGAGATTTTCGGCTTAGCGTCTACAACCTCTTCGTAGACACAATCTTCAACCCATTTAAACAAATGGCCCTGCGATCACGTTGAAAATGACTTACCGACCAAACCAAAAAAACACTAAATCAAATCTACTTACATCATTCAAGGTTGGACAACGGAAGAACGGTCTCCCTGGGTTCTGCTTCGTCTTCGATGTGAGAATGACAACGTCTAAGCCGCAGTGACACTTCGAAGGAAAGCCACGGAACTCGCAACCTCCATCTTGAACACACGAATTACAACTCATATCTCTGGTAGAATTGGAGAATTCGATGAAAGAAACAAGATTTCGAGCTCAAAAGAAAGATAATGCTGCGAATTGCTGAGAATTGAAAATTTTAGGGTTTGAAATCGATTTGGGGATTTCTCAGAATTGGGGATTCTTCAGCTTTTAGAAGTTTCGATTAAGCTCTAAACGACGCCGTTTTGGGCATTAACGGAGGTGTTAACGGGTGGTAACGGATGTTAGCGGATCTGTTAACGGCTTGGTGTTTTGGCGGGGTCAACGATTTTGTAATGTGCTAAATGGAAGTCAACGTATTTGTCATGTTTAAATTGGCCATTTATGAAGTTGGTGTGGCAAATGGCCACAATTTGAAAGTTCGGCTATTAAATGACATTTTTCCCAATTACAAATTATCAACATAAATACAAAATAAATCAAATCAATTACAAAAATCAATCAAAAATTAATTTTGAGAAATTTTGTCAATCGTCATTAATGGAGATTGGTTATTTGTATCTAGACACTTTTCTTCATACTCCTTTGAATTTGGGCTTGATTTGCATTGAACCATTTGTTGATGAACCATAGATGTTAACCGTATTTTCAAGATTGCATCAGTTGGTTTGAACTAAAAAAAACTCTCGTTTAGATAACAAAAATTTGAATATAATGTATGTAGAAACAATCTGAATGTCGATATTTGATTGAGTTTGTCGAAGTAGAAGTACAAGTATTGAAAGATACACATGATTGACCGTATTGGTGAAAAAGTGATTAGCCTCCCCTCGTTGCTCCTCATCCCTTTATAGTGGTTTTCATCATATCTTTGACTCGATCTCGGTCATATGTGATATGTATCACATTGCCAAATTTTATCGATGTCGTTTCCATTATAGTCTTCCACTTTTTATGTGGTAAAAAAACCTCTATGAAAAAGAAAAACAATATCTTTACTTATCTTCGTTTTTTTTTAATACCCTAATCAAATATATAAAAAACGAATGCTAACAAAAATTTGTTATCTAGACTGAGGATTTAAAAAAAAAAAAACGAAAGTGTAATAAAATCTATATATAATAGCAATCTAATCAATACCATTTGCACATCTGAACGGTTGCGTCTTTTTATCGCAACTTTCCGTTAAAATATTGACGGTTATTTTTTCGGTTGTGTTTTTTATCGCAACTCTTCGTTAAAATATTAACTGTTACTTTTTCGTTGACGGTTATTTTTCGGTTGTGTCTTTTTATCGTAACTTTCCGTTAAAATATTGACGGTTATTTTTTTGGTTGTGTCTTTTTATCGCAACATTCCGTTAAAATACCAACGGTTATTGTTTCTTGGTTGTGTATTTTTATTGCAACTTTTCGTTAAAATATTGACGATTATTTTTTCTCGGTTGTAATTTTTATCGCAACTCTTCGTTAAAATATTGACGGCTAATTTTTTCGTTGACGGTTATTTTTTCGGTTGTATATTTTTTTTATCGTAACTTTCCGTTAAAATATTTACGGTTATTTTTTTCGGTAATGTCTTTTTTTTTATCGCAACTCTTCGTTAAAATATTTACGGTTACTTTTTCGTTGACGGTTATTTTTCGGTTGTGTCTTTTTATCGTAACTTTCGGTTAAAATATTGACGGTTACTTTTTTTCGGTTGTGTCTTTTTATCGCAACATTCCATTAAAATACCGATGGTTATTTTTTCTCGGTTGTGTCTTTTTATCGCAACCTTTCCGTTAAAATATTGACGGTTATTTTTTCTAAGTTGTGTCTTTTTATCGCATATTTTCGTTAAAATATTGACAGTTATTTTTTCGGGACAGTTCTATTTGTTCAATTATAGTCATATTTTTTTTACTTTACGGTTGTGTCTTTATAGTTGCATCTATTCATTTAAAGTTACGTCTCTTTACTATATTTCATTGCATTTTTCGTCATAACTTTTTGTATGAAAAGTTGTCTATATAAATGTTCGTGACTTTTGAATTCTATATATTTGTCCTTCTTCCTAAGTAGTTCTCAAATTTTTGTTCTTTAACATAGATTATTAGTTTCATGATACATCCAAAAATAATAATATGTAAAATTGCTCCAAATTTTGTATGCTCTAAATTATTTCTAAACATACATCATTTTAATATTAAAAGCACCAATTCACGGGTGAAGTTTCTTAGTTACCCACAAGTCGTGCTGAATAGCGACTCCATCCGAATTTTTGGTTTGGACCCGCTAGAATTTCTCATCACTATATTATAACTCTTCTTTATGTATTTTGTCACTTATAAATAATTTTAGATTCATAAAAAATATTTTTAAAGTGTTTTTAATCATAATTCTTCCTTTTTACATTTTTATTCATAAATAGTTTTAACATCTTTAAAAAATATTTACGATATAAATTTAAAACATAGTTAATTTTATGTAATAATTCAAATTTTTTTTAATATATTATCATAATAATTTAATATATAAATACACTCAAATATATTTGTTGAAAATGAGTTTCCCCGCGATATCGCGGGGATTCATAACCTAGTAATAATAATAATAAGCTCTCATAAAAAAAATTTAAAAATAATATTATGTTAAAATAAAGTTAAACTTCAATTGTTAAACTTCAATAGTCAAACTATAAACTAATGTTTACAAAAAAAATAGATGATGATATATTTAGAATCAAATCTCGATCTTGATGGATTTCGATTCGGTTGGATCACATTGTCTACGATTTTATATAATTTTTTTTTTTCCAACTTACACAATCCAAGTGACCGTGACTCCGTGAGTCATATAAATAAAAGATCCCTACAACAACTACTTGAAATCGACTAAATATATCGAAATCACGTGACAAATCAGCAGCATTTATTCATTCTACTAACCTTAGTTGGTTCCAAATCCTTCACTATTCGAAATTGTATTTATTAATTTGTATTTTTCACATCTGCATCTGTGACCTCTGTGCGTTCTTCATCAATCCTCGGTTTCATCCACAATCCACAATTCTCTTGGTGATCTCTGATCCGAATTCTTCTGTTAATCTCCGTCAGATATCCGAATTTTCATCACCAGAATCCATCTTCCGATCTTCTTCCCTCTCTCAAGCGATAATGTGGAAACTGAAGATCGCGGAAGGAGGTAGTCCATGGCTTAGAACCACTAACAATCACGTCGGAAGACAGTTTTGGGAGTTCGATCCGAATCTCGGTACTCCTGAGGATCTCGCCGCCGTCGAGGAAGCTAGGAAGTCTTTTTCAGATAACCGATTCGTGCAGAAACATAGCTCCGATCTGCTTATGCGCCTTCAGGTATTTATCTCTCCCTTCTCTTTCTTTCTATCCGTTGACTTCTGTACAGTGATACTTAGGAATGTGTTGCTCATCGAATCAGGAAGAATTAAGATAAATAGATAGAGAGAGAGGTTAGGATTTTCTCATGTTTTGATCTCTGACTAGTTTTATCATTCATCAGTATGAAAGTAGAACGAGAATAAGCATTCCTGACTATTATATTTAACGTTGACTTGCAGTGTATTCACCTGAAATTAATTCAAGTTGTTATAGGAGCATGTGAACTTAGCGTTGCCAGATCGATTGTATCTTACTGTTTCTTATTGAGTAGCCACTTTAAATTAACTTGAAGCAAGTATATACTCTATGGATTTGTAGGGGAATCTAGTTTACAATAGATGGAAAAATACACATAAAGCATGGACAGCTAGTTTCTAGAGTTCTAAGATGAAACAACAAAAGCTTTTCTTGAAGATGGCCATCTCCTTGTGTTTTAGACCCATCTCTATAGTTTCATTTTCATCTACCTTCTGCTTTTTGCCAATGAAAGTGAAAAAAAGAGTTCCAATCTAGAGAAAGTAACAAAACCTTATGATTCTTTTACTCATTTATTTGCAACTGAAGAGTTATGATACCAGTTGCACATTTTTTCTAAAGCTGAGATCTGAATATCTGTGTTAACTTATTGCTACAATTATTTGAAGGCTTTTCTTTGCTACCTATTGTAATCTGTTGTGTTTCTGTGGTTTGTAATCTTTTGGCTTTCGTTATTGTTTTAGCCTTTGAGTCCATGGCTTTCTCCTTAATTTTCTGATGGCTGTCCCATGATATTACATCAGGGCTTAATCTATCCCACTCCTTTGACTGATTACAGTTCTCTGATATTCAACCATTTATTTGCTTTTGGAGAAAACTGTTTTCAAATCTGAAGATTATCCCTCTCTCTCTTTCTCTATCTGTAGTTTTCAAGAGAAAATTTGATTAGCCCAGTTTTACCTCAAGTCAAAATCGGAGATACTGATGATGTTACAGAGGAGATGGTGGAAAACACGTTAAAGAGGGGTGTCGATTTCTATTCAACAATACAGGCGCACGACGGGCACTGGCCTGGTGATTATGGTGGTCCTATGTTTCTTCTCCCAGGACTGGTCAGTTCATATACTTCGTGTCGCTAAGCTTTCTTTTGCAAATTTTGCTGAAAACTTGACAAAAACTAAATCTGATTACAGATAATTACACTCTCCATAACTGGAGCACTGAATACAGTATTGTCGGAACAACATAAACAAGAAATGCGCCGTTATCTCTTTAATCACCAGGCAAGAAATTTCTCCTATCTTTATTATAATTCTGTTTCCTTGCAATGTCTTCCTTGGATTTTTCTTTACTGTTTTATGTTCTTAGACACATTATGTCCATCCAAAAATAAATGTGTACACACATCTTTATATTTCAAAGATTTTCTTCTTCTACTTTCCAAATCGTTAAGTTAATTTTCACTATTGGCGGTATATGGTTTCAGAATGAGGACGGAGGTTGGGGTTTACATATTGAGGGCCCTAGCACCATGTTTGGGTCTGTGTTGAACTATGTTACTCTAAGGTTGCTTGGAGAAGGACCTAACGATGGAGATGGAGCTATGGAGAAAGGGCGAGACTGGATACTAAATCATGGTGGTGCTACCAATATCACATCTTGGGGGAAAATGTGGCTATCGGTACTGAAATCTTGACCTCTATCTGTCCTTTAAAGTTATTGTATGAATATTTCTGTTACTTGACTCATCTTTTGTCTTGGATCTGCTAATACTGTGAATAAAGGTACTTGGAGCTTTTGAATGGTCTGGAAATAACCCACTGCCACCTGAGATATGGCTTCTTCCATATTTCCTACCAATACATCCAGGTGCTCATAAATATTTGTACAATGACAATTTCATGTGTTCTTGACTTTCTCAACTTAAATACTGTTTATGTTTATTCTTTTCCCAGTCTCCAATTGTTGATTGACTAAAATATTCATTCAAATGAAGTGCCTCTTATTATCAATTCTTGGTTCAGTCGCTATTTAATGATATGTAGAACGGAAAAACCAAAGTGCTGTAACCATGCCTGTATCTGTTTTGTCGCCTCTATGCTTCCTTAGGTTCAACTATTTATTTGGGATTTAAATATAGCTATATTGGTAATGAGCTCCATAAGCAGTACATTATATCCCAGACTTTATGATATGGAATACCATTGATCATGGACAACTCAAGTGAAGTAAATCTTGAAAGAATTTGTAAATCTGATCATAGCTTGTAATCTATTGTGTTTCATGCTTGTTCAAAGTACACTTATCGAATGTATTAACTCTGTGTGTATTTAGAAAGGTGGATATGGTTTTCTTTTGAACTTGCTTTTTAGTTCTTATGTATACAGATATATTGCACAGTAAAGCATCAGAATAAGATTAAATTTCTCTTGCTCCAGGAAGGATGTGGTGCCATTGTCGGATGGTATACTTGCCGATGTCGTATTTGTATGGAAAAAGGTTTGTGGGGCCCATAACGTCCACTGTTTTATCTCTGAGAAAAGAGCTTTTCACTGTACCATATCATGAAGTCAACTGGAATGAAGCACGCAACCTTTGCGCAAAGGTGCGTGGAATGGATGGTGAATTTTGTAACTATGCTAACACATAAGCTAATCCTTTGAACGCAGTTACTTGCTTTCTTAAAAGACCTGAGCATTTGCAGTTTATAATGAGATCCTTGTTTGGCTGAATAACACAATTAGATTAAATGATTCTTAATAGAATATACAGGACTCAAAATATAGATCCTTACACATATCGGTGTGTATTCAGATGCTCAGGGGTAACTGTTTTTATACTGATAGTTGCTTTTCTATTGAAGGAGGATTTATACTACCCACACCCACTTGTGCAAGATATTCTTTGGGCATCACTTCATAAGATTGTTGAGCCTGTTCTGATGCGATGGCCTGGTGCAAATTTGAGAGAAAAGGCTATAAGAACCGCAATAGAACATATTCATTATGAAGATGAGAATACTAGGTACATCTGCATAGGTCCCGTGAACAAGGTATGCAAATCAAACTTCCACTACATACCATTGTCTTAACAATTATTATTATTCCCTTTCACAAGTTCAATTTGAGGATATGTTCGACTTTGCGTTTTCTTTCTGTTTTGAATCCTCTAATTTTTTTTTTTTTTGCTAACCAATCCTCTACTTTAATCATCTTTGTTTTGTGCTGTTATAACAGGTATTAAATATGCTTTGCTGTTGGGTAGAGGATCCAAACTCAGAGGCTTTCAAGTTGCACCTACCAAGAATCCATGACTTTCTCTGGTTAGCTGAAGATGGAATGAAGATGCAGGTACCACATATTTGTGTATATGATTATGTTAGGTAGATTATATGGACCAAGGTGACTGCCGAACCAGTACGAATATTATGTCTCTGGAATCATTAGTTCAATAGTATACAAATATACGCTTCAAAATTTGATAGTACTAAGAATGGCTTTACTACATTAACTTATATGAAGTTGGGAGTTTTACCTAGTATGTGTTTGATAGAATCTTTTTAGATCATAAGAAAGAAACGAACAACCTTGATAAAGCTCTACCATGTTTCTTTCACCTCCTGCCAACCAAAACCCCTACTTTACTTTCTATCCAGTTACTAGTTATAAACATTGAACCTGTTGTCCATACTCTAATGCAGCAGCTATTGACAGGGTTATAACGGAAGCCAGCTATGGGATACAGGTTTTGCTATTCAAGCGATTTTGGCAACTAACCTTGTCGAAGGATATGGGCCCGTTTTGAAAAAAGCACATTCATTTGTCAAGAATTCCCAGGTTTGTGATAGGCAGTTAATGAAGATCAGCGTGTTGCTTTGGATGTTTTTTTCCCTCTCATGATTGTTTCTATTCATGGTATAGGTGTTAGAAGACTGCCCTGGAGATCTGAATTACTGGTACCGCCACATTTCTAAAGGGGCTTGGCCTTTCTCAACTGCAGATCACGGTTGGCCCATCTCCGACTGCACTGCAGAAGGACTGAAAGTAATAATAATGTGATAGAGTTACCTTTCAGGATTTCTTTTCTGGTGGTAATGATTTTGGTATTTCCTCTTCAGGCTGCTCTTTTGCTATCCAAAGTTCCCAAAGAGATTGTTGGTGAACCAATAGATGCAAAACGGTTATATGATGCTGTTAATGTTATCATTTCGTTACAGGTTAGATTTGGTTTCTTATACAGATTGGTGCTTTGATCAGTCATATGTCGTCTTTCTTTTCTGCTGACCTTTTTTTTTTGAAATGCATATTTCGAAACCAAAAAATTTTCCTTGTCTCATTAGCATTTAATTTCTGATTTCAGAATGCAGATGGAGGCCTTGCAACATATGAGCTCACCAGGTCATACCCTTGGTTGGAGGTATTTTCTATGTGCCTAGATATAGCTCTGTTATGTTCTCAAGCCTGATTATATGTACTTTTTGTTTCTATGTTTCCAACACATATTTGTCTTAGTCCCCTTTACTTGAGGTTTTAAGTGAAACGTTTACTCATTGCTGTTGGCAGCTAATCAACCCAGCAGAAACCTTTGGCGATATTGTTATTGATTATCCGTAAGGCACTAGCATCTTCCATTGAATCATCTGGTTAATCGTATTTTATGTTTTGTAAATTTCCCTTGATGCGCAAGAATGGTTCTGTAGTTACGTGGAATGTACATCAGCTGCTATCCAAGCTTTGATATCATTCCGAAAGCTGTATCCTGGTCATCGAAAGAAGGAAGTAGATGAGTGCATTGAGAAGGCGGTTAAGTTCATTGAATCTATTCAAGCAGCAGATGGCTCATGGTAAGTCTCTAGTCATTATAAATTTATTTGCAGAATTACATTATTTTCCTTATATTTTATCGTTGTATCTTCTAGTTGGTTTCTGTCTTGTAACCTGTGATATTTCCCTAGGTATGGATCATGGGCTGTTTGCTTCACATATGGTACGTGGTTTGGAGTGAAAGGGCTGGTAGCTGTTGGAAAAACATTGAAAAACTCTTCACATGTTGCCAAAGCTTGCGAATTTCTATTGTCGAAACAACAACCTTCGGGCGGATGGGGAGAAAGCTATCTTTCATGTCAAGACAAGGTTAATAATCACTTTCTATGTTCGCTAAACTCTACTTACTGCTACTTGATGAATCGTTTATTTTTTATATTTTTTGAATAGGTCTATTCAAACCTTGAAGGCAACAGGTCTCATGTCGTGAATACAGCATGGGCTATGCTCGCACTCATTGGTGCTGGGCAAGTGAGTAAATTCCTTGAGAAACTTTAAAATTCAGTTCATTGTGCTGCAAGGCACGGGGATTGCTCATTCTTTTCTCTCTCTCTCTCTCTCTTTCCATTTATACTTTTATCTCTTTGTGTGTGTTCTTTATTAGGCTGAGGTAGATCAAAAACCACTAGACCGGGCTGCAAGATACTTGATTAATGCTCAGATGGAGAATGGTGATTTTCCACAACAGGTAACTAGTTATATCAACCACATCGGTGTTTGGAGTTTCTCTTGGTTAACAGATATATGATGGATCTCTTGGCTCTCTATTTCAGGAAATAATGGGAGTCTTCAATAGGAACTGCATGATAACATACGCTGCGTATCGAAACATTTTTCCGATATGGGCATTGGGGGAGTACCGTTGCCAGGTATTATTGCAACAAGGAGAATGAATCAAGTGTTCAAAGTAATTATTTCTCTAGGGAAGGAACTGTGTAGCTTCGATGCTTACTTTTCCTAAAGTTGTGTTATCCGTAACGGATCTGCTCTGATGCTTTCGTGAACCAATCTCTCTGTAATTTACTTAAACTCAAATCCTGGTTGCAGATTTTGTTGGGTTCTCTTGAATAGTTGAATACCGATTTTAGGATAATGTCTTTTTGTGAAAACAGACATTTTCTTGTATTCGGCTTTCAATTCATGTTTCAATTTCCCACTTTGGTCATACTATATTTTTCCTTTTAAAGTAATATATTCATAACGTAAATTAAGAAAAGAAATGTGCGTGTTTTCTTGGTCTGTTTTATTGTTAAATCCAAGCCAACAACATCTACCAAACACAATTTTAAACTTCCCGTACGTTAACACTAGCTATCTCCTAGAGGAAACTAACAAAATGAATTGAGCCGGAAAACACGGTAACATGAAAAGGAGATGTTAGTGTTCCTTTTTCATTGTTTTGTTTTCTCGCATGCATGCTTGAGAATTTGAACAGAGATTATCACTCAAAAGTAGACAAGACCAGCGAAAAGAAAATGGCGGGAAGGTCGGTGGGGCCAGCCGAGGTGGTCAATGAGAGGGCTGAACAATACCAAGGGAAAGTCACCGGCTTTGTCATTGTCACTTGCTTTGTTGCAGCTATTGGTGGATGCATCTTTGGATATGACATTGGGGTCTCAGGTTCTGTACCATTCCCTTATTAAACTCAATTTGTAGTGTGACTAAATGACTTTATAAAACGGCTCGGGTTTTTTGTTTTATACAGGAGGTGTCACGTCGATGGATGAATTCCTTAGAGAGTTTTTCCACGATGTGTATGAGAAAAAGAGTCATGCTCATGAAAATAACTACTGCAAATTCAACAATCAAGGACTGGCGGCGTTTAACTCGTTACTGTACATGGCTGGTTTAGTTGCAACTCTGATAGCCTCACCGGTTACTAGGAACTATGGACGACTTGCAAGCATTATATGTGCGGGGATCTTTTATATGATTGGAGCTGCTGTAAATGCTGGATCTATAAACCTTCCGATGCTTTTTCTAGGACGGATCATGATCGGTTTTGGCGTTGGCTTTGAAAATCAGGTTTTGTGAGAAGACAATGTTGTTAATGAGAAAACCAAAATCTCTATAATCTAATGATGCATCTTATCTTTTTTTTTTAGGCAGTTCCTGTGTACTTATCAGAGGTGGCACCAGCCAATTTAAGAGGTGGTCTAAACAGTATGTTTCAGTTGGCAACAACTCTTGGGATATTTTCAGCCAACATGGTCAGTTACGCCACGCAAACTCTCAAGCCTTGGGGCTGGAGACTCTCTCTTGGTTCGGCTGCTTTTCCGGCTCTTCTCATGACCCTTGGCGGTTATTTCCTTCCTGAGACTCCCACCAGTTTGATCGAAAGAGGATTAGCGGAGAGAGGCCGGCAAGTCCTGGAGAAACTAAGAGGAACAAGAGACGTCAACACTGAGTTTCAAGACATGGTAGATGCAAGCGAGTTGTCAAATTCTATCAGACATCCTTTCAAGGAAATTCTACATAAACGCCACAGGCCTCAGCTTGTTATGGCGATTCTCTTGCCAACGTTTCAGATCCTCACTGGCGTTAACTGCGTTCTCTTCTACGCGCCTGTTTTGTTTATTACTATGGGATTTGGAGGAAATGCTTTACTCTACTCATCAGTCCTTGTAGGAGCTGTCCTTGTTCTCTCAACTTTGATTTCCATTGCATTAGTGGACCGATTAGGACGACGAGCTTTGCTCATTAGTGGCGGATTACAAATGATCATTTGTCAGGTAAAAATGTTATCACTTTTTTGCATCTTTGCAATCATCATATGGATACAAAACTTTTAGTTCAAGGCTAAAGATTTTTGGTTTTTGAATTAGGTTCTTAACTATATATAACTCATAATGCATTTTATGGTCTCATTGTTATTTGGAAACAGGTCATAGTCTCAGTGATCTTGGGATTGAAATTTGGAGACAACAAAGAGCTATCAAAAGGATACTCAATCCTCTTGGTCATCTTTGTTTGCCTCTTTATTCTAGGCTATGGATGGTCATGGGGACCGCTTGGCTACACCATACCGAGCGAAATATTTCCCTTGGAGACCCGTTCCGCGGGACAGAGTATCACCGTTGCGGTTAATCTCCTTATGTCCTTCATCATTGCCCAAACTTTCCTATATCTCCTATGTGCTCTCAAGTTTGGAATTTTCCTTCTCTTTGCTGCTTCGGTTTCCGTGATGACCATCTTTGTTTACTTCCTCTTACCTGAGACCAAAGGAGTGCCAATTGAAGAGATGACACTCATATGGAGGAAACATTGGTTTTGGAAAAAAATATTACCTACAGATAACCAGTAAGGAATACCATCAAATGTATAATTAAAAACCTTCAAATGCATTAGCGTTTCTGTTGCATTCTAGTGTGAATACAATATGCATTAGTGCTTCTATCACTATTTCAATAACCATTTTTTCAATAAATTTGAGCTTCACATATGAAATCCTCAACAAGACAAAAAAGTATAAAGATGGGGCCGACTTTGATTACAAAGTTATACGTAGAACTGTAGAAGTTTCAATGGAAAATGCACAAATGCTAGTTATTAATCTACTTAGGCAGAATCCAAAGCAAGAAACAACGTTCTATACTAAGACCTGAAAGCAAAATTCTTTGTATTAATAATATTGGTGAAATAACCAAAAGCTGACTAATTCTCAACTAAATAAATGCTTATATAACATGTTTAAAAATATAAAACATATAAAAGGATTTGACATAACATGGTTACGTTTAACTGTTTAAGGAGTTCCATAATAGTACATAGAAATATATTTTTAGATATTGTATATGATTATGTATAATCTCAAAGAAATTTTTTTTTCTTACTCTTCGCTTAACAAATAACTCAATAACTCAAAATACGCCGCAAATCTTTTCTTTTGTGCCCTAATAAAATAAAGATAAGAATAAAGATAAGATGCGAGTATAAAATAAGAAAAGAATATTCTAGCGAGTGTAAGATAAGAAAAGAATACTCTAGGTTGTAAGATAAGAAAGGAATATTCTAGGTAATATTCCCTAAGCTTTGTACTATAAATAAAGAAGCTTGGAAGTGTGTTAGGACCAAGCTAAGTGATAATAGGTTTTTAAGATCAATTAATCCTAAAACACTATCGTATTGTTGTAGTATTTTAAGTGTCAATCCAATCAGGTGTGATGCAAACAGATGAGATGTGATCAGAAGTCACTAAGTCAAGCCAAGCAATTGCAGGTTTTGGTGTTTCTAACAATCCTAAGTGATCATGCGGAAAACAGAAAAATTGCAGAATTACAGAAATCACTCGACCACAACTGGCTGATGCCAGGAGCAGGATGTGATCGAGTGACTCGTCGAGTAACAAGCAGAAACTGCAACAAAAGCACTCTACCACACAGTCTGTTGCCAGACACTAGATGTGGTCGAGTGAATGAGTGAAAACAGGTAAGAAATGTGAAAACTAAGCAACAGGCAATGAGAACGATTAATCAATAGCAATGAAAACAGAGAAATCAAATAGCCGAGAAATTCCTAAGGATGAGGTATTCGAATGGAGTGGTCTCCTTAGCCTATTCAGATGGTTAACAAAGCGCAATCAAGCTATCCCTAGACAACAGGTTCAACAACAGATTTATTCACTCCCGTGCAACAAATCCTCAAGCAAAGCTAGCCCAGACTAATTCCCATTAACGGAATCTAACTATGCAGGCAATACGATTCAACCTATTATAGTCAATAAACGCTCTAAACGGCCAATCCCTTGGGATAGAGACGCATATATCTGGAACTAGTGGATCAAGCATTCCATCGAACACCTTCTGGGTGCGGGAATACTTTGGATCGAGTTCCAGTTGATCAGAAAGAAACAAGCAATAAACTCAACTAGTCCAGAAGGGATTCAATCAATTCTAAAGCTTAACCATCTAAAAGACTACGGATTCCACAACCATTCTATCCCATCCTTAAGAACTCTATGTCACTACTCAGACATAATCAAAGACAACAACGTTGAGACGAATGAAAACATGATAACAGAAATGATAAAGGATGAAAACGAAAACTGAAATATCAAATACTTGAAATCAAATACAAAGTTTGCAGGAAGAAAAGTGCGGCTATGAAAACGAGTCTAATGTAAACCTAGATAAAAGCGTAGATAAAAAGTTGATGTCTCGGAACAAACCCTCGAAGACTTATTTATACATAACAGAGTAAAACGACAGAAGATGGATCGGGAATCCACTCAATCGGCCCGTAGAATGGTAATGGGCCGAAGCTGGGCCTTTGTGGTCGAGTGAAACTCCAAACTGCTTCCAAACACTTCTTCTTCTCCTCTTCTCTTCTTTATGCTCAGCTTGTCTGGTTGAGTGCGGATTTGAGAAGACTCTGAAGACGTGATCGAGTGAATGGCAGAGTGATGTGGTCGAGTGCTTCAGGAAGATGATGGCTGCTGTCACTCGACCACTTGGTCGAGTGGTGTGGTCGAGTGAATGAGGCGGATGGTGGCTGGTGCCACTCGACCACGGGGTCGAGTGGTGTGATCGAGTGCATTGGTCGAGTGAGGAAAGAGGATGGTGGCTGCTTTCACTCGACCACATGGTCGAGTAAGTGCTGCAGAAGGTACTCGACCTTGTGGTCGAGTATGCTCTGCTGACTCCGGCTCGTTTCTTCAAATTTGATCGCCAATAGCTCCAAATCACCTGAAAACAACTCAGAAATGCAAAATGTATGCAAACCAATCCTAATCATGCAAAGTATGCAAGAATGATGAAGAATGATATGAAACAGTGATGAATGTCATGAAACTAGACTCAAAACAATGATGAATGAATGCAGAAAAAAATGCAAATTATAGACACATCACTAAGCGAGTGAGAAAGAGTTTGAGAGAGTCTTGTAATCCTTGCAATCCTTTGAGTGTTTTAATAAAATCTCCCCCTTTGTATATAATCCTTTCCTCTTCGATATACATCCCTTCATATAGTAGTTTGTCCATACTTCTGATCCAAAATACCTCCTTCGTGGTTGTACCCACTATGTGTCTGTAAATTTGGTATCAGAGCCATGGCAGTCTAAGCTTTAGCTCTTACCTTCCTTAGTCGTAATACATCCTCGGGTCGTTTTTCTACCATATGCTAGTATGGAAACTATGCTATGTGGTTGCCATGTTCATGAATCCTCCACATCAGAAATCCGGCTAAGCTAGATAAAGAGGGTATAGAGAAAGAAATCTGTGAGGTCGTAATGCTCGAAGTATCTTGAGACTCCAATGGTTGTTAAGAGTTTTCCCTCGGTTTGCGTAGCTAAGTACCTCTTGATTAATTTCTTTATATTCTTAGCACTTGTTGAAATAAGAAAAACAACTCAAGGTTTGTTATTACTTCAAAGATAGGGTAAGATATATGAATTCTGTTATGGTTTCTGGCCTCTACATACACTATGGAAAGTTCATCTTCTTTAATAAAATCCTCTTCTTTCAGAAAATCAAACGCTAGTAAAATAGACTATCTATATGAAGTAGAATATGTAAGTGATGAGAGTAAAGTTCCTATTACCCAACTTCCTTTATTAAATCCCAATAAAGCTTTCACCAAACCCAACTCTACTTTCCCAAAAGTCATAAAAAGTGTTTTTGGTCCTCACAAGCCTGCGGCGAGAGAACTTGTTCTAGCCTCCCAGCTTGAACAACATCTTGTCCCGGCAGTTGAGACAGAACAGATGATTCCTCTCCGACTCAACGAGGGAATGATTCACCAGTGGAGAGCTCATGGCTACACCTACCTTCACTATGGAGCAATACGCTTAGCTTTAACCCTCCATGGAAGGAAAGGTCTACCTTTTGTAGCAAGAGTCGCTCTTCTCGACACCAGATACAGGGAATACAAGCACGTATGCATTGCAACAATCCAGACCACTCTGAACGCTGGTACTGTCTTTGTCACACTATACCCAAACTTCAACGTGGCACTTGAAAATCCCCAGATCTACCAGAATATGCAAATCCAACTCCAAATCACAGGTGCTCCACAAATCGGAAATACTTATGCGGCAACACTCCACCATCAGATGGCGTACCGAGTTCAAAACCATGCCATGGATCTTAGCCTTCCTAGAGATACAGAGGACGCTCTGCTCATTCAACTGGAATCACATCATAGCCCTTCATGCATCCATATTCCGAGACAAATCCCTAGAGAAGAACTGGTCAAGTTACTTCCTAAATCATGGAGCAGTAGAGATTGCTTTTAAGCAACAAGAAGAAAATCCAAGACCAACAGCTTTCTGCACAGAAATCAATACGATCTCTCCAACGGACGATAATTGTGATGAGAAATTATACAAGCAATTACCTGGCGTTCCAATCGAGTCGTTTGATTCACTCGGAGATCATGTCTTCTTGTATATCTGGAGTTGCAGGGGTCGGATTACTCGGGATCTCCGAGTGAATCAAACGACTCGATTGGAACGCCAGGTAATTGCTTGTATAATTTCTCATCACAATTATCGTCCGTTGGAGAGATCGTATTGATTTATGTGCAGAAAGCTGTTGGTCTTGGCTTTTCTTCTTGTTGCTTAAAAGCAATCTCTACTGCTCCATGATTCAGGAAGTAACTTGACCAGTTCTTCTCTAGGGATTTGTCTCGGAATATGGATGCATGAAGGGCTATGCTGTGATTCAGTTGAATGAGCAGAGCGTCCTCTGTATCTCTAGGAAGGCTAAGATCCATGGCATGGTTTTGAACTCGGTACACCATCTGATGGTGGAGTGTTGCCGCATAAGTATTTCCGATTTGTGGAGCACCTGTGATTTGGAGCTGGATCTGCATATTCTGGTAGATCTGGGGATCTTCAAGTGCCACGTTGAAGTTTGGGTATAGTGTGACAAAGGCAGTACCAGCGTTCAGAGTGGTCTGGATTGTTTCAATGCATGCGTGCTGGTATTCCCTGTATCTGGTGTCGAGAAGAGCGACTCTTGCTACAACAGGTAGACCTTTCCTTCCATAGAGAGTTAAAGCTAAGCGTATTGCTCCATATTGAAGGTGGGTGTAGCCATGAGCTCTCTACTGGTGAATCATTCCCTCGTTGAGTCGGAGAGGAATCATCTGTTCTGTCTCAACTGCCGGGACAAGATATTGTTCAAGCTGGGAGGCTAGAACAAGTTCTCTCGCCGCAGGCTTGTGAGGACCAAAAACACTTTTTATGACTTTTGGGAAAGTAGAGTTGGGTTTTATGAAAGCTTTATAGGGATTTAATAAAGGAAGTTGGGTAATAGGAACTTTACTCTCATCACTTACATATTCTACTTCATATAGATAGTCTATTTTACTAGCGTTTGATTTTCTGAAAGAAGAGGAACTTTCCATAGTGTATGTAGAGGCCATAAACCATAACAGAATGCCTTATATCTTACCCTACCTTTGAAGTAATAACAAACCTTGAGTTGTTTTTCTTATTTCAACAAGTGCTAAGAATATAAAGAAATTAATCAAGAGGTACTTAGCTACGCAAGCCGAGGCAAAACTCTTAAAAACCATTGGAGCCTCAAGGTACTTCGAGCATTACGACCTCACAGATTTCTTTCTCTATACCCTCTTTATCTAGCTTAGCCGGATTTCTGATGTGGAGGATCCATGAACATGGCAACCACAAAGCATACTTTCCATACTAGCATATGGTAGAAAAACGACCCGAGGATGTATTACGACTCAGGAAGGTAAGAGCTAAAGCTTAGCCTGCCATGGCTCTGATACCAAATTTACAGACACATAGTGGGTACAACCACGAAAGAGGTATTTTGGATCAGAAGTATGGACAAACTACTATAAGAAGGGAAGTATATCCAAGAGGAAAGGATTATATACAAAGGGGAGATTTTATTAAAACACTCAAAGGATTACAAGGATTACAAGACTCTCTCAAACTCTTTCTCACTCGCTTAGCTTGGTCTTAACACACCTCCAAGCTTCTTTATTTATAGTACAAGGCTTAGGAATATTACCTAGAATATTCTTTTATTATCTTACAACCTAGAGTATTCTTTTCTTATCTTACACTCGCTAGAATATTCCTTTCTTATCTTATACTCGTATCTTATCTTTATTCCTATCTTTATTTTATCACGTTGTCACAAAACCGACATTTCCTTGCATGTTTTCTAAATTTTCATGGTTTTCCACGAAATCCCATGGTTAAAGTTACTAGCTTGAGCATCAAAGAGTCTTCGAAAATAACATACTATAGTTCCAAGACACAAACTTATTTGAAGAAGATGTGTCCTCCTCTATATTTTTTTTTTTTTTTGAATAAAATGTAAAATTTATTCTAAAAAAACTTTTTTACATCGAGTGCAGCGTTTGTTTTAGCGGTTTTTGAATACATAGGTCAAAAAAATAAAACCAAAAAGACGCGCCTTTGTTATCTTGATCCAAACCAAATAGCCATACAACCGTCGTACCTCATATCCCCCTCTTCTCGAATGGAGGAGATTCTATTCCGGATTTGCTTGTCAAGACCCCGGAGCAGATGAGCTGAAGGAGTGGGTGTCTCTCCATGTCGTCGAATGTTCCGTTCTTTCCAAATAGAATGTACCGTGAGCTGAAAGGTATATCTTATCAAGAACAAGCATTCATTCCCAAGGGACTTATCCGTGAGAAGTTTTATGATTGTATCACAACTTGTGGTGAAGTGTTGTGAGAGGAGCTTACTAGTAAGTCCTGACCACACTTCCTTCGTGTAGTGACATGTGAAGAACAGGTGACTGCGGGTTTCCAAGGGTTCACGACAGAAAATGCATGAAGGATCTACCCCGACATTCCAACATAACATTCTATCTCCCGTGGTTAAACGATTCTTTATCGCAAGCCAAGCTAGAAATGAGTATTTTGGCGTGGCGTGTGAGAACCAAATACCTCTATACCACTCTACCTTTGGCTTTGCTTCTCGAGTTGCTTCCCAAGTCTCCTTTGTACTGAACTTTGTTTTAAAACGACCTCTCTTGTCCTTCCAAAGTACGATATCCTCTGCTTCTATTAATCCTTTAGACCGTACGTCGTCAAGAGCTATTTCCAATTGATTTAAAATGTCTGTCCTGTGTCGCCTCTTTCTGTGACTCTCCACTGCTTCAGCCACAGTGGCGTGAAGAGTGATCCCCATGTCAATACAACCTCTCGGACCTGTGATTTCAATTAGCCGCCCAAGATGTGTCCTCTTCTAGCAGTTGAACAATTTTATCCACAAACAAGAACCAGAATAAATAATTTGGGACTGTTCTATAAGTATTATTAATATTTTTATCTTACTACTTACATAAAAAAAGTATTTATCAAATCTGTCTCACAAATAGGATAGCATATTGTTCTTTCAAAAATGCATTTATTTATTTTTCTTATAATTTCTTGAAGAGTAATTGCATGATACACTTAAGTAATTAAAAGATATGGACAACGGCATAATTGTAAATTTGAGAGATTCCGAAAACATAGAATGTTAACAGTCAATGTTAATTTTGGTCACTCTTCAAAGCGAAAGAGAATTGTTCATAAGAACAACACTAGAACACAAGTTTCTTAGACAGTTTTCATCATAACTTTCTTCTTGACGTAAACATCTTTAAATACAAAACAGAAGCAAACTTGATCGATCACGATCCTAGAAACATGGAAGTAAGAAAGTGGTAAGTGGAGACACTACTTCTCCTATTAATAAGTAGATAATTAAAATTTTTAATTGACAATAAAATTGTCAACTAAACGATCCTATCATAGAAAATGACACAATTCCTTGTTAAAAATGAGAACGTAATTATTGATTAACAACAAACTCTTGCTAATATATGATTTGATCTCTTTGCGCATGGTCTCTCCTTCAATGTTTATCTCTCTTTTCTCCATTATATATAGATTTGAAGAAAGTCACGTTGGTGATGCTTTTAGTATCGGTATTCCGGAAAAATATATGATATGGTCACAAAAAAAAAAGTCACGTTGGCGATGCTTTTAGTATCGGTATTCCTTTACTCAAATCAATTTCTTGCAGGGTACAAAAAAAAAGAAAGTGAATGCCTCTTGGAGTTGAGCAATCCTTTGGTCCTCAAGTCCTCTTTCAATCCCCAAAAATATATATTATCAAAGTTTCCATTTTAGCTATTAATTGACATTGATTACCTCGCTATAGTTATTTATTTCAAGCAGAATTCCATGGACAAAACAAAATGTAAGGTTACAACAAAATATCTGGCCCAAAAAGGCCCAGTGATCTCTGAAAACATGCGGTCATGTCAGGTAGAAAAAAAAAAGGGAATATGCATAAAGTAACCATGAAACCAAAAAGATTTAACAAACTAACCTTAGGCTACAGTGCTTTGTCGGAGATGTAGATGCAATTACTGAAGTAACCTTTTTTCTTTTGTTTTTTTATCTCTCAATTCTTCTTCTCCAGATCTCTGTAGTTTCAACCAGCAGCATCTCAATTCTTTTTTTCCAGATCTGTAGTTTCAACGGGCAGCAACTCCGGTCCAATATCTTGTCAGAATTCGCAACAAAAAATTGATGGCTTTGTCAAGATTCCCAATCGATCTCTCTCCCTATTGTCCGGTTCTTTCTATTTCTCCACAGCCTAGAGATCCTTCTCATATTTTCTCCTTTTCCTCATACCAGAATTATGGGCTAACCAGATTTCAGTTTCTCTTTAGAAACTCCACAGCCGCAGATTCATTTTTTTGTGTTTTTTTCCCGAACTTCATGTAATGTTTCCCGATATAGCGGTATCTTTGTGTTCAACATGCTGTTTGTTTTTTTTGCCTTGTAAATTTCCAATATGTCATGCTTTTTTCTTTTTTGACATGCTATTCCTTTCAAAAACACATTAAATATTTACAAATTTCAAAGTTTTTTGTTCGGAGAATACGCTTTTTAGTTTGATTCATGCAATTTCTTAAAATCACCATGTAAATTTTCAATATGTCATGCTTTTTTTTCTATCGACATGCTATTCTTTTTAAAAACGCATTAAATATTTATAGATTTCAAGGTTTTTTGTTTGGAAGATAGGTTTTTTTTTTTAATTTGATTCATGCAATTTCTTAAAACCACCATGATTTGTTTATCTTTTCCTTAATTTTCGCTTGTCGGATCTTCTCCATTATCATCTCCTCCATAACCACCTCTCTCACAGAAACCACCACCACCGTATCCACCTCACGACGACCACTGCCACGGGATCCATAATCTTCATTATGCCTTTTGCATCCCACCAACGTCATATGAGCCTCGCCGAACACCGGATCTCACGCCAAAACTATGGTATCGTTTCACGCTAGATCTCAAGCCAAAATCTTAATCGGAAAAATCTCGTCGATCATATCGTTGTAAATTTCATACTTGTTTAATAAATGGTTCATCTTGTAAAAGCTATGGTTTTGCAAGGTTAATTGGTCTTTTCTCTATCCCTACCCCACCACATAAAGAGTTATTTTCCTAAAAAATCTGACACATGGTTATTTTGTTAATTCTTTCTCGGTCAAAGGCTACTTACTAATATTACCCAAAAAAAAAGTTAGTTATTGCGGTCAAACTTTTTTTCCTCTTTTGTGTTTAAATTTCCAAATCTCAGTGTACCCCACAAACAAAATTCGAAAAACCTCGCAACGAGCGCGAGATTCAAAAATCAAAATCAACAACACGCGAATCAAAAGAAACTGAATCACACGCGCCTCTCTCCTCGAACTCCGTCTCTTTCTCTGCTAAAAAACACTTGGGGCTTCGTGAAACAAAGCAACTCTCTCTCTCACTCTCTCTGCTTTTGAATCTCCTTTTTTTTTTTTCTCTCCTCCACCTGAGAGAAAGCAGAGATTATCTTCATGGCTTCTCAATCATTTCGCTCACCATTATCCTCGTGATGCTTCAGAGTATGTTTCGCTACTCTCTCTTGACCTTATTTTTTCGTTGATTTCAGTTTTACTGCATTTTTCTGTGTTGTTCTCTGGAAATGGAGTAATTCGCGATACAAAAATGGTTGAATCGTTGTTTTAGATTAGAGAAATTTCGAAATCGCTGTTGTTTTTTTGTTGTTATAATCATCTTCTTCTTTCCAATTTGAGATTGCGTTGATTCTATTCTTGAGCGAATTAGGGAGATATTTTTGATCTGCTGAATCAGAGATTTGATTTTGTTGAATTTGCTTTTTCGATTTACCAAATCCTTCAGCTACATGTCTCAGACTCAATTCTAGTTCGTTCTTTCAGGTATTTGGTTTGAGGAAGTAGGATTCAAGTAGCTTAAAGCTAATGTGTGAATAGAAAAAGAGAGTAGAGGATAATGAAGACCAACATGCAAGTAAAAGGAAGAGGAGGAAACATGAAGGCTAATACACAACAAGTGATTTTTGAGCTGAAGAAGAAGGTTGTTACTGCATTAAACAAGTTAGCAGATAGAGATACATATCAGAGAGGAGTTGATGAGCTTGAGAAAACTGTTGAGCATTTGGCACCCGATAAGGTTTCGTGTTTTCTCTCTTGTATATTGGATACTGATTCTGAGCAGAAGAGTGCTGTTAGGAAAGAGTGTATTAGGTTGATGGGTACTTTAGCTAGGTTTCATGAGGGGCTTGTTGGTCCATATCTTGCTAAGATGGTTTCTAGTATTGTTAAGCGGCTTAAGGATCCAGATTCTGTTGTGAGAGATGCGTGTATTGAGACAATAGGTGTTTTAGCTTCGAAGATGAGTTGCTTTGAAGACCAGAACTATGGGGTGTTTGTTTCCTTGGTGAAACCGCTTTTTGAAGCCATTGGTGATCAGAATAAGTATGTGCAGTCAGGTGCTGCCTTATGCTTGGCCAGAGTCATTGATAGCAGTCCTGAAGCTCCAGTTGCGATTATACAACGCATGTTAATGCGGACAGTAAAGCTGCTCAATAACTCACATTTCATTGCAAAGCCAGCAGTTATTGAGCTTAACAGAAGTATCATCCTGGTAAGCTACTTCTAATACCATATAATTCTTTTTCGTTTCTGAGTCTGAGCCTTTGCTGCTACTATTCTCATGTGGTTGTATAATGAAAAATGGGTAACTGACTCTAATTCAGGCTGGTGGGGCAACGTCGAAGAGTGTGTTGTCCTCAGCAATGTCTAGCTTTCAAGATGCCCTTAAAAATAAGGACTGGACTACTCGTAAGGCAGCTTCTGTAGCACTTATGGAAATAGCTGCTACTGGTGAAAAGTTTCTTGGACCTCTGAAGGCTTCCTGCATCTGCTCTCTTGAATCATGTCGCTTTGATAAAGTTCGAACTCTTTTTCTAAAATCCACTCTCTTAAGGATGACAATTATTGGAGTGAAAGATCTAACTTTGTGCTTTTCTGTTTTAGGTGAAACCAGTGAGGGACTCAGTTATCCTTGCCTTGCAATATTGGAAAGGTGTCCCTGGGTCTGATAGTCCAGAGCCATCTGAAACTGGATCCTCTGTAAAAGGTGGGTTAAGAAAATGAATCTTTTACATGTTTATATTTTTTTTTTATATTTCATAAGACTCATAGATGCTCTTTCTGTTTATCTGTTTTGTAATCACAGAAAGTTATAATGGAGCTCGAGAGAGTAGTGAACTTTTCAGCACCAGTGACTCTAAAGTAAAGGATGCTACGTCTATCAAATATGTAACGGATTTGGCAAGGAAAAAGGTTCCGGTTTCTGCCAGGCAACCACCTACACGTTACAATGATGACCCTCGAAAGACTAAACCAGATAATTGGCATATTGAAATTGCAGTCCCAGAATCTTCTATTGTCTCCAAGGTTGATCTTCATAATGAAGAATCAGAAGGCAGTTGCATCACCAAGACGTTTGCAGAAGCGACAAACACCCTGACATATGAGTACATTCCAATGGAGGATAAAGCAGATTGCTATGTAACAGGCGGAGTCAATGAAAGTGATGATATCAAGTCTATTACAGTTTCATCAAGCAGTTTCCGGGCAAGTGGTATGGTGAATCCAGCCATAACGAGTAAGCATTTTGCAGCTGAAGAAACTGATACTGAGGAGCAGCCATTCGCAACCAAAGTGAAGGATCGTACAAGTATTGATTCTTCTGTAACAGTGTCAAGTTCTCAAATCAATCATGACTGCTGTGCTGAGATTGCCATTGAAATGGCTTCTGTACGTAAACAACTCTCAGATATTGAGAATAAACAGTCACGTTTGATAGATCAGCTACAGGTCAGTGGATTATCTGTCACAATCTAATGTCTTTACCCATTTTACAAATTTATAGATGCTCTAGTCAACCTTTGTATCTTCAAGATGCGTGTTCTCAACAAGTCAGCATGATTTTTGAACTGTCTTACACTATCATATGCTTAGGAATGGCTAACTAATATATGTTTTTTTTATCTTCTTCTGTTAAACTTGTAGGCCTTTTCAACAGGAATAATGAACAACTTTTCGGTTCTTCAATCCAAGGTGTCAAGCTTAGAAAATGCAGTTGAGGGGATAGCTCAGAACGTTGTCTTGCATTCAGATATATCAAACTCCAATTTTGTGAAGCACAACCAAGGTAGTACCCTGTCACCAAGGCTCTCTAGTTGCACTTCAAGAACTTCTACGGATATCCGCAATCGGCAATCTACATTATCCACTTCCAAGTACTCAATGGCAAGGGAGAACAAAACACATGTAAGAAGCAGACTAAATGAATCACATGGCATGGAGAAGACACGGAGTAATCCTTTAGGTAAGACTGGTCAACAACATACTAGAGAGGACATTTGGAACAACATTGGACAGGGAAGACAAACATTGATCCAGACCCGGACATCTTCTGATTCAATTCAAAGCATAAGACAACCTTACCCAGAGGTGATGAGTGGATCAAGGAAACCTGTGACTGGTGTTTCTTGTGAAGATGTGGTTGAATCAGAGTATCTAGAAGTACTTTCTTCTGGTGATGAGCTAGCACTTGTTGAGCTTCTTGACAGAACCGGGCCCGTGTTGGAGAGTATGTCATCACAGACCATAAATGAAATTCTCAGTATTCTCCTTTCATACCTCCTCGAACGAAGATTCATGAATTCAATACTTCCTTGGTTGCATCAGGTAAATTTGCTGAAATCATGCTTGAATTGCTATTACTACTACTGTTGGAATAATGTTACTGAAAACTCTAATCTCTTCCACTAGGTCGCTGACTTGAGCACTACAAATGGAGCTAACTATCTTATTCCATCTGCGAGAAAGAGAGCTCAATTGTTGTCTGCAATTCAGGAGGCTTCAGGCATGGACTTTTCAAATCTTGCTGAGAGGAGAGCAGTTACTCAAATAGCAATGAAGTTGCGCAAACTATGGGGTAAGCTAAGATCTCTCCTTGCACTATCTAAGGATCATGCACAGAAAACTTGCTTATAAACAATGTACATTCATTTATAGAAGCTATAATCTTTAAAATGATACACTATTAAATCTTCATATGATTAAAAGTTTTCCTTTTGTTTTTCTGCAGGAAAATGCTCTTGATCATTATGGTGTGCTGAAGTAGACAAAACAGTGTTTAGCTACAAGCTGATGTTTCTCCTAAGTAGTTGAATTAAACTTGTTGAGAAATTCTACTCCTTCCTTTGTTTTCCACGTGTGTACCACATATGAAATCATTTGGATTATTCAAGTATGTTTCGAATGTTTCATGTACACTCACTGAAGTTACTTGCCGACACAACTAACACAAATAAGCGTCTCCAAAATTCATTTGAATTTCAAAGAAACATCAATTTGTGTAATGCACTAATATTTGTAATCCAAAAAAAGAAGATCCCAAAATGAAGACTCAACTTATTTATACATTTAAGCCAACTCTGCTACTTTCTTATCTTACAGTCTCAAATCACTGGTGAATCTTTCTGTCTTGAGTCTTAAATTTTGGTAGTATCCGGTTCTGAAAGAGCAGAAACATATTTGTCAGTGTCAACTGAGGCTTCGCTCTTGCTTCTACCACTTTCCGGTCTTCTCCTCCTCTGTCCATCTCCGTCTCTTGTGCCTTGGGAATCACTAGATGCTTCATATAAGGTTACGGACTTGCCCCTGCTATGGAGATTAGTCATGACTTCCTCCTGAGCATCTCCGTCTTCCTTGAGAGTCTCAAGAACTTCTACAACATGATTCATGAGGGGCCTTCCTTTCGGGTTTTGACTTAGGCATTGGTATGCCAAACCAGCTACTTTCATCAACGCCTTAGTGCCGTACTGTCCATCCATTCGAGGGTCTATGATCCTCAAAAGCTTTTTGTTGTGATTCAATAGTGGTCGTGCCCACTCTACCAAGTTATGCTCCCTGCAAGGTCTGCTTTTGTCCATCGCCCTCTTCCCAAGGAGCATCTCAAGGAGAAGTACTCCAAATCCATACACATCACTTCTGGATGTCAAATGTCCTATTACGACAATCACATATACGATCCATTACAAAGCAGTTACATAATGTGATCGTCTCAACAGGCATATATTTTAAAAGGGTCATTTTAACACTGGTTGAAGAAACAGCTATGAATTTTAATAGGTTCTTGTGTCAGTTGACCACGCTGAATTCGAACGTATTTTACCAATTTTAGATGCCAGACAAATGCTAACGGAAAATACTAAAGACAGACCTGTCATTACATACTCAGGAGCAGCGTATCCGTAAGTCCCCATAACACGTGTTGACACATGTGTTTGATCTCCTCTTGGACCATCCTTTGCCAGTCCAAAGTCAGAGAGTTTAGCATTGTAACCCTGCACAAGCATTACACCTTTCAGGGGAAACATAGGGGAACAAATTGAAAAACTAGAAAACAGGTCATTTCACTAACAATTCTATCTATTAAAGAACAAGAATTAAAAACCTATGTAATCTCAAAACGAAAGACGCAATAGCTGACCTCATCCAGCAATATATTTGCTGTCTTCAGATCCCGATATATGATGGAGCGTTCAGCACCATGAAGAAATGCAAGACCCTTGGCTGCGTCTAGCGCAATCTTCATTCTTTTCGACCATGTCAAAGTGCATCCAACTCCTGTCAAGTGAATTCCAAAGAAAGACACATTTCGTCATTACTCCATTTATAATATGGGAACATAATATATATTATATCCATGCATATGCTTTATCACTTCCTCTCCCAGATATTTATAATGACTACAAACTAATATATCCCCTGAAGTTATTGTAATTTTTGGTCACTAGCATGTGCTTGGTTTGAAAAGCATATTTCAACAATGGATTCAGTCAGATTTGAAAGATGCAGTTCATATGATCCATTGTTCTTTCTACAAAAGATTAGCTCATAAAACTGGGATAACTAGTACTCAATATGATCCACCTTTAGGCAAGTATATGCAATGCAAGAATGGTATTAACTTTAAAAGCGTATGCCATGAGAAAAGCATTTTGCAGTTATCAAAAGCAAGTACGTAGAGAAGGCAACAAATAAAGATTTAAGTTCCAATCTTCGTATTTTAGATGATGGGAAACTTACTTCGGAAAAGATGTTTCTCCAAGCTCCCCATTGCCATATATTCATAGACTAATAACCTGTGATCATCTTCACAGCAGTAGCCTATGAGCTTAACCAAATTCGGGTGACTCAGCTGTCCTAAATAGTTGACTTCAGCCTAGAAGAAATAAACATCAACAGTTTCAATAAAATCACACATTCTCAAATACATATCTCTAATTTGTGACCAGTCACAGCTTACCAGCCACTCTCTATCTCCCTGGAAGCCCTCTGGATTAAGTTCTTTGATAGCAACTTTTGTAGACTTGTAACCACCCCTTACAGACTCATCTATAACTCCTTTATACACCACTCCAAAACCTCCCTCACCGAGAATATAATCCGGCCTGAACTGCTTAGTAGCAATCTTCATCTCTTGGTAAGTGAAAATATCAACATTTTCATAACCTGGATTAGACTGAAGATCTTTAATGTTTTTAGGAGCCAAAGGCAAGCCACCACCACCACCACTTGCACTCACTTTACTAACTGAATCTTGACAATCTGACTTCATTAGATACACTGCTGAATTTTTCCCTTCTGTCCCAACAAAACCAGTATAGTGAAACAAAATAATCATCAGATTGAGAATTCATAAACTTCATTCTGATCAGACTTGAAATTTCCAATAGAACATCACCAAAATCCCAATTTACCCAGAAACCAATATCATCAAACAACTTTTTTTGATCATTAGGAAACCCAAAACTGCCAGAATCGGAAGAACCCAGAAAAAAAGAAACAGAACCCTAAAAAGGGCAAAAATGAAGAGAGATCCAAATCCAATTGAAACCTGGTGTTGTTTTCTTCTGATAGTTTTGCTGTTGAGAAAATTGGTACTGATGATCTTCAGCGCTAAAGCAAATCCCCATCCGAATTCTTCTCGAAATCCGAAAACACTCTCTCGCGTTATCTGTTATTTGATTCCCATCACATTGTCCGTTAAAAACAACGACAGATCCACAAAGAAAAAAAAAGCTCCGATCTCCGACGAGACTCCGAGAAACTGGCTGATAAACTCGAAGGAGAAAATGGAGGAAGAGAGATGGGTTTCTCGGAGGAGGTCGGAGAGAGAGAAGAAGAAGAAAAAAAAAGGGTAAGAAGATAATTGTAGAGAGAGAGAGAATGAATGATCCGTTGGAATCGATGGATTTGAGACTAGCCGCCAAAAACGCAAGGCCAAGCGAAGCGACCTCACTTTTTTTTTTTTTTTTTTTCCTTCTTCAACGGTTAATACGTATGTTATGTTAAAAACATCCTTTCACTTTGGTTTTAAATTTGCTTATATACGTTTTTTTTTACATTCAAGATAGGTTAAGAGATTTTAAGTTTTCCATAAAACCAAATTTTTTTAAAAAATTATTATTGAGTTTCCAAATCTATGAACAGGCAAAAATTTTGGTCAATGGTCAATATTTTGAGTGTTTGTATTGCATTAACTATTGATGTTGACTAATTTTTTTTTTTTTTGGAGAATTTGCAAACAAAGCATATTTAAATTTTGTTTTTGTTTGTAAACTGATTGGAAAACTATACAAATTTAAGTGTAAAATGAATAAAATAAAAAGAAAAAATTGAAAATTTTATTAGATTAAATGATATTAATCTATGTTCTTACTTCTTATAGTGACTATATAATACTAGATTGATAATCTGTGCTGCGCTCAGATCGATTATCACCGATGCAGCTTAAATCAATTTTTGATCTAATACTTATAGATTTTGAAATTAACCGTACCTAATTATTTCAGAGATCTGATATCTGTACTAGTTCTACGCCAATAAGATCGAGGACGAGTTTTTATATTCGGATTGAGAGAGACTAACAGTTCTTAAAAATTTCTTTGAAAAAAACATTTTTGGTCTATTTGTGTGGCTTTCCTTCTTCATCTGCCAATCATAATCTTTAGACTTTCTCTACATGTTATCATGTCTAGATATAGCAACGTAAAGCTTGTCGTGTGAAAAGCAAGACCTAGGTAAATAAGTTCTACTCCTTTCAAAGTAACTGTCTTCGACGCATCATGAATGGCAACTTTGTGTTTGATGGTGTAATCAAAAACCTAGGGATCAAAACTTTGTTACCAACCCAATCTCATTAGCGTGAACAAACTCGGCCATTAGCGTGATATGTATCCTTGTTCCATTCATTAGACCACCTATAGGATCAGTATTTTTGAACAACATCACTGGACAACCAATCTTTAGGCGAAGCCTATGGTTTGGTAATCCTGAAACCTTGATACTATTAAGAAAACCAGAAGTCAAAATAGGATTAGCCGTTCCACCTATGTCAACACGGTCTATACTATCTAAACTAAAATATACTCTTTCTTCTCTTGAAAATTAAAGATTGGTTAGTTACTTAAAAACAATGTTTAAGAATGAGTACTAACCTTGTTTCTAGAACATACTAAAGTTTAAAACAATGTTTCTGAATGAGTACTGACTTTGAAGACGTTCAAGCATAGTCTCATTTATTTGGTTGACCATAAAATAGCTCATTGTTGGATAAACTTAAGATCTTTTTCATCCTGCACCTTTGTATATCTCACAAGTTCTTTCCATATTGCTTCAATAGGATCTTTTGCTTTGGTATTGAGAAACTCTAATGGAATATCAATCATAGCTTCTCCATTATTAGGTTCTGCAATTTTTCATCGCCAATTACTAATATCCACTCAAAAATCTCTTTAATGTCCTTCGCCTCAGTAACACTCAAATTGTTAGCAAAAAGACACATATTATTTGTCAACTCCTATACTCTGAAGTAATCCCAAAGATACGATGAATTAAGTGCATTCATGTTTTTTTTAAATCTGTTTATTTTTTAAATATCAACAATTTTATTTTAAACGTGTTAAGTTTTCAGTAAATCCAAAATTTAACAACAATGATTTTTCAATTATTCGAAATTTTTTCTAAAAATACATTATTTTATTAATGAATAAGCTCCTATCATTTTTAAAATATTTTAATGTTGAAAAAAATAATTAGTTTCCTAGAAAATGATTGTGAGTGTGGTGTCTCTTTATCATAACTATTTGTTATGTACTTTTTTTTTTTTACTTATAACCATATCAAAAATTAATTTTTTGAGAAATGCTCCTTTCTAAATGCTCATTTTCAAAAAATTTCCTTTCCTAAAACCTTTTCAAAATGCCTTTAAAATTCTGAGATCTATCCAAATACGGATGTAACATTATAAAAACATACAAAACTACCTTTATACATGTAAAACCATATAAATACATTGTAAATATTTTATAAAACCTTATAAAACCCTATACATATCTCATAAGAGCTTATAATTACCTTACAAAACCATATATATACTTGAATCGAGTCTCCGGATTGTAGTTACCATCAAGAAGTACCTTCTAAACCTTATAAATCGTTTTATGTTTAATGATGGGCATATTTGAAAATGTACAACTAAATAAAGCACTTTTTAAAAATGAGTACAAAAAAGGGAAAATACCCCTTCAAAAATTCTAATTTTTTTAGAGAGTCACACTTTTTTACTGTTTTTAATACAAACAGGTAGCTTTTCACTATGTGCGTTCATTTACCACTCATATATTTCCAACCATATTTGTTGTTAATTTTCTAAGGAAGCAGCATTTCACGTATACATATTAATTATTTGAATTTTTTTTTAACAATTTAGTCAACATATATTATTTTAAGATTGATTTTCTTATAATCATTGATTTAACAAACTATTTATGGAATTTAATTTTATCACTTTCCTAGAAATATTTTTGGACTGTTTCATATATTTATTATAATTCTTCTTTATGTTTTATTTACCTAATAAATATTTTACCTTCATAAAAATGTTTCAAATGATCGTGTTTTTAATCATAATTCTTTTTTTTTTTTACAATTTTGTTCATAAAAGTTTTTAAAATTCTTTGGAAAATATTTCCGATATAACGTAAAAACTTGGTAAAATTTATGTAATATTCACATATTTGAATTCATTATCACAATAATTTAATACATAAACACAATCAAAGAAATTTTTGCAATGTAAGTTTTTGTTAAAAATGAGTTCCTTTGCGACAACGCAAAGGCTCATAACCTAATATTTGATTGACGTTTCATACGATCGTATTATAACCGTTATTTTATATTGTAATTAATTTTTATTATTTTACATAATTATATAAAAGTAAATTAGTTATTATGTAAATTAATTTTTATTGTGTAAATTAATTTTGAAAATTTGTGGATTATTCTTTTAATTCTCCATAAAACTTGTTTTAGTACTATTTTATAATATTTCACATTATTACAGTTCGTGTATATTACCATGTAAATTCAATATTTTGTATAAGTATTGATATATTAATTTAGTGTAAATGTGTTGTCATGTGCTTCACTATATCTCATGGCATCTTCGTAAATTTTTTTTTTTTTTTTTAAAGTGACTATGTATAATTACCCTCTTAAAATAGTAACTTTTTTTAAAAAAAATTTAGACGTTAGATTCATAATAATAATTTTCCACGCTTCCAATATTCTACTACAATTCTTTTTTGATATTTTTAATTTGGCTAAAAAACAAAAAATTGACTTGAGTGTAAAACAACTAAAGCGATGGGTGGAATTCAGAATTTAATACCACAAAAGCTTGGTCAACGCGGTTTATCCTTGCTTTAATGCATGGACCCGAGGACGATTTCATTTCCTTGGTCCCTTGAACAAAATCAATAAAATCTGAGCAAGTAATGTGTGAAATGTGATACAGTTACAGGATTTATTTTAGAGTCAATGTCCTAAAGTTATATATATATTTGCAAGAATGTGATGTTGCTTGGCTAGTGTTATTGCATAATGATTTGGTTCCGCATTTGAAATTTTGGATTACTCATATCTGACTAATATATAAATAAGATCAATAATTTTATGAACATATACTATAAAAATAATTTCTTTGGTCAGTGGGGAGAATTCTAGATCGGTACTCAGACTAATACTCCAAAATTACATAAATTCAGTTTTTACCACTGAAGAAGGTGGATATATAAGTTTAAATTGATGAAAAAAAAAGAGTTATAATTTCAAAAAATAGTCATTTAATTATTTAAATATCCGCTATGACCTGATGCAGTACCCAAAGTTCAGATGTCTGTCTATAAACAATCTAAAATCCAATATGGTAAATTACTTTGGTGTTGTAGTTGAATTTGCTGTGATGTATTTAGCGAACTATGATTTTTATTTACAAAATTATTGTTAATTAGAGGCCTGGACATAAAATCCGAAACCAAGGTAAAGTAGATTGGGAAAAATGTCATTTAAATCATCCGTTTACAATTTTCGTTGGTTTAAAGCATGAACTCTGGATCTGGTGATTTAAATCTTTAATTTTATTTTAAATTTCATTTTAATCATTAAATCTCGTTGACAAAGGCAATAGAGGCATATCGTTAAATGGCTAAACGGATCAATAATACGGTGTCATCGCATAACTGGCATTTCGAAGTCATCGCATAATTTTTCTTCTATACCAACAGGGTTTCCATTTTCTTCTTCAAAAACTATGCGATGACATCGTTTGATTACTCCGTTTAGCTAGTTAACGTTGTGCCTCAATTGGCTTAGTCAACGAGAATTCATGATTAAATTGAAAGTCAACATAAAATTGATAATTTAAGGGAAAATTGGATATAAAGGATAAATAATTAAATTATTGTCCATCTATGCATTCTATATTCCTAATTATTGGTCATATATGCTTTAAAATTGGTCATATATGCTTTGATATAATTAAAAGTCCCATTTATATCCCCAGTTTTTTTTTGTTAAATCTTGCTAAACTATAAAATTCCAAAATTAATTAGATTTTTTCTAAAAATGATTTGAAGAAAATATATGACAAAAATAATATTTCATTACTTTATAAATTTTTTTTGCTGTAGATAATTTTATATCTTCTTCCGCTTTAGTTCTTTTTTTTTTACGGCATCTTCTTCTTCTATTTTCTTTACGGCAACTTCTTCTTTGATTTTCTCATTTGGGACTATCGATATGTTGGACGATGTCAACATATACATGCACGTCAAAGGCCTGTAGTTGATCTATGGGAAGTAACATCTGCTCATGTATTCATGACCGAGTGGCAAAGTATGAACCTCCACAAGCTAGATTCTAATATAATAGAGATTGAGTGAAAAACAGACACACAATGATTTATGCAACTTTTTTACATGTCAAGTCACTTTTACGTTAGTCATTTTCAAATATTACGCCTATAGCAAGCCACAATTTTCCACAAATGTGGTACTTTTGTTAGTTTATAATTGAGTTTGGTTATATTACGTATTTTGTATTTTGTATAAGTAGAGCAACACGTTTCATTCATGTTATGTATTTTCCACGAAAAAATTGTGTAGTTTCGTAATCTTAACTTTTTATATTCGATTTCCATATTTTATAATTTATTTTCCTTTTTAAAAATAAATTCTAAGTTACATAGAATTTGATTTCTATTTTTTGTAGAATATATAAAAAAATATAAGAATGTGTTTTCTAACAATTTTAGAACATGGGTAAATGTTAGAAAACATATTCTAATTTTTCTAGAAGAAAGAGCAAAGTATAGAATATGTATTCTAAATTTCATAGAATTTAGCATTCTAAATACCGTAGAACAGAAATGCGTTCTAAATTTTCTAGAACATGTAGAATGCATAGAATACATTATCTAAATTTTATAGAACATGTACAATGTATAGAATTCACATTCTAAATTCAGAAGACGTAGTCTAAACTTCGTAGATCATATTTTATTCATCCAAAACGGTAACAAAAACGATATATTTTCGATTTTATAAGTATCCCCATGACTTCTTTTTCATTTGCCTACAAACTATTCTGAATTTTATTTGAAAAATTGGTTAAATCAATTACAAAGGGTAGATTAGGAATATGTGACATTTGAATATAGAATGCATAGATGGACAATAGTTTAATTATTTGTCCTTTATATCCAATTTTCCCATAATTTAAATTACCAGATCCACATAAAATTAAAGATTTAAATCACCAGATCCAGAATTCATGCTTTAAACCAACGAAAATGGTAAACTGATGATTTAAATGACATTTTTCCCAAATTAGATTATGTTATTGGTTTGAATTGCTTGTTTACAAAATCATGGTTAATTTTATAATTGAAAATTTACTAATGGGCCGATTGGACCCAATAAAGCCTTGACAAACCGGGCTAATCCGACCCGGAAAGTTGTCAGTTGTTCACCCTAAAACGAAAGACCCTTCTCTAGCACGTCGGAGTTCGAAGATCAAGATCTGCAGACATGGCGGACGAAGCAACTAGAGCTGTGAGTACCACTTTCTTAAATCCGGTCAATTTCTTGTGGAATATTATTAGTTCCCAATAAGATGTTGCAGAAAATGGAATTTTAATGTGTAAAGTTACAGGCTTTTATGGAGATTCAAGCGAGCATGATTGAACTCACTGGGAAGCTTAAGCAGGTGAAATCCTCCCTTGCTTTGTATTACCGCCTTGCTATTTGATTAGTTATTAAGTTTTAGAATCAAACGTGACACATTGTAATTTGTTAGTTCTTCAACTATGTTTGAGTTTGGAATCACTTCTTTGGATATATACCACTTGTGCTTCAGTGTCACATCCTTTCTTTGAAGGCTCCAGTTTCCAATAGTAGAATCTTGATTTGCGTATGGTTTGTGTTAGTTAATATGATTCAGTATTTCGACACTTAGCTCTATGTATGGTAAAATAAGATGGCTAAAATCATAGACATTACTACTGTTACTGGGAGTACTGAGATGACAAAATTGGTTGTCACGTGGTGATTTGGTGTTAAAAAAATTGACATGTGAATGTGTATGGCTTTTATAGGTACAGAATCAGATGCGCAACAAAGAGGGAGATAGAAAGCGAGCTTTCTTAACCTTGGAAGAGCTGAGGCCATTGCCTGAAGATACCAATACCTACAAGTCAATAGGCAAGTGATTCAGTTCTCTGGTTGCATAAGGATAGTAGCTTTTTGGTTTATCATGTCTAACTTGTGGTTTATTCTTGTTTTCAGGAAGAACGTGAGTGGTTAATCGTCCATCCAACTAGGGCGTTTGGAGAGTTTTAAAGGCTGATTATAGTTTGCTTCATATATGGTGAACAGGTTTGTTCTAGAGCCCAAGACAGTGCTGGAGGGTGAACAAGAGCAAAAACTCAAGGACAGTGAGGCTGCCGTTGCTTCTCTACAGGTACATCATTCCCTCTTTCGAACATCTGATTGGGTTATTAAGAGATCATTGAAATGCCGGTTTTATAACATGTTTCCGGGATGATTGTCAGACATCGAAGGAATACTTGGAGAAGCAGACAGCAGAGGTGGAGAACAACTTGAGGGAGCTGTTGCAGCAAGAACCGGGCATTGCTCAACAGATAATGTCCATGTCTATGTAATTTTTGTAGTATCCAAACCTTGAACAAAAAAGTATACTCAACTCTGAGTTTCGTTCTGCTTTGTTAGAGCTTTTGGGATTGAAACCATAAGATGTTCTGTTTTTGAAGTTTGTAACATTCACAAGTTTTTGTCCGATCAGAATTAAATTAAAGTCTCTTGTGCGAAAACAAAGTTAGATCTAACCAACTCGAGATTGCATTTAACAATGTGAACGTATTTAAATTTAATCTCACACAATCTTAACAGAAGTAGATACTATAATATAATGAATTTAAGTGTAACAACAATTAAAACTCATGTAATGTTCTTTGTTAGTAACAACTTAGTTGACCAATCACCAAAAGCATGGGAGTAAATAAGTGTCAAAAGACATACACATACATATCAAACCCCAACAAATACTTCCTTCATGTACACTGATTTTACACTACCTCTTCAAAGAAATCATGCATCATAATGTCTCGGCATCTTAAGCAGTCCACTTAAGATGTCCATAGTGTTGGCTTCTACGTCTAAAGCCGTTCCCAAAAAAAATCCAAATCAAGATTGATTGACGTAAAGAACAGGAACAAGTCCTGCCATCTTCCCATCTCTTCCAGGCCGCTTCTTCTTTACCTGTCATAGTTTATAAGTTGATCCCGGTTAGGCTAAGGTTTTAAAAAGCTCTACTCCTCACAAGATTTAAGTGTTGTCTCTGTAAACCAAGTACTACTTACGTAAAACCAGCCATCTACTTCATACTCTATCTCCAATTCCTCTTCTGCCGTCAAGTTTAGCTGCAACATACTCAAAGGTGTTTTAACGCTTGCATCATAACACATTTTTCCAGGAACAAGATTACCGAATAGATAATAACAAATGGATAATATTTGAACCACATATATATGAATCACTTAACTGGTGTTTTCCAGAACGTACCAAAGGAAAAAGACAAAAGCAAGCTTACCTCATCATCTCCTCCTGCGGTGAAGTCATAGAGCGCTGTTCCAAATCTTGTACCAGTAGATTTCCTAGGTTCTTCATCATCTGATTCATAACTTCGAGAACCAGACCCTGCTACAGGGTTCTCAAATGATTCACGACTTTGTGGCTCAGAATATGAATAAGGCGGAGGAGGCTCTTCTCTAATCTGAAAGGGAGAGGAGAAAGGATAATAGAGAATCAGCCCATTTCACAGCATATACAAACACACAAAAGAATATCAGCTTACCGGGGAACCATAGCCTTCATATGTGGACTGGTATTTGCTTCCACCTGATTTTGCCTATTTGAGTTACCACATTAATTTAGTTAAAATTAGCTGGCACGAATAATTCATGAGTTCTTATGATCATATATAGTTGAACCTTCTTTACGCTTAAAACTATACTCATGCCTTTTCCTTTTAAGACACAACTTGCATGCATATCATCATCTCTGGTTACTATTGTTTGTGGAAAACAGACTTCAGGAACATTTTCACAGATATTTATACTTCGTTACTGAAGCAGAATTAGCTGTCATATTCTATTAACTCACTGAACCAAATAATTTTCTTCTTCTCAGTTGTCATTGTGACTAAGACTTGGGACATTAATAAATAATCCAACTGAATCACGATATTCTAGCACCACATTATCGTAGAACTACAGGATACTCTATGGCCCATAATTGTCACAAATAGCATACTAGGTAATAAGGAATGAAATGAAAGGAAGAATTTGTGTATACCCTACCGTTGCTTGTGAGGAAGGCTTTGAACTGAATAATGATGGGTAGTTCATTCCACCAAAGTGAGAGGATATAGAACTTTCCACTGATCCAGTAGAATCTGGAGACGATGAACCTGATCTCGCATCTTCTTCCTGTAAATACAACGAAAGTCATTTATAGCATCCCTAGAATTAAGTCATTTTTGTGAAATCCCTGAAGATAGATTAAGCTAATAGCATACCTCCAATTCTGAAGTTTCTAAAAGAGTCTTAGCCCACATGTCATCATAGCCAACTGAAGGTCTAGAGAAGACATTCTCTTCCTCAACATCTGGTGCATCTGTTCCGACTCCAGAAAGGAATTCATTGACCTGACAAACATAATATAGGTCTGAGTTTAATTCGGGACATAAGAATTGTTAGCATCTGTAATGTAATTATGTACGAATAAACAGGTAGATCAACAGTTCACAGCCAGATAATCAGATGAATGGTTAACTACTACTTAAACCTTAATAGCATGTGAAATGTAAGCAGATCTGCTAGAACCCATTCAGACCAGTTCCGACCAAATGTGACGTGAAACGGTTTACTATGTCTTCTTTGAAAACAAGGTTTTACACTTTTACTCTAATGGGCAATCCACACAACTGCTCATATCATTCATCTCACAATAAGAAGAATATCTAAATAGTACACACAGGCATTAAACTGCACACATACTAATCCGTTATCTTAAAAGGTAAGATAAAAAGGCAACTTACCCTACTCATTGCTGGGGCATTATTTCCAAGAAGACCATCATCACCAAGGTTTGCAGCCCAAGCGTTCACCAAATCATCATCCAGACCACTGGAGTTTGAGGCAGCGGGGGCAGGCTGAGTGGACTCGTAAATTAAGTCCGAAATTCCAGTAGCAACGACAGCTGGATCGGTGGACCCAGTAGATGCAGTGATATTGTGCTTTGTGCGGTATATGTCAATGAGCTTTGCGCTTCATAGGTTACGAGGAAAAAAAATAAGTATTATCATATGAAACATGAATATAGACAGAAAAGTACCTAACAAAATAAAGAAAATCGGGGAAATAAGTATGCAATTTACACAAGAAAGGTCAGCAGCAAGATCACCAAACATGAACTGTAAATTCTGGACCTCTTTTGATTAAAATGTTTATATATAGTTGACGACATCAAAACGGGTATAATATCGTTCTTGAAATTTGTCAGAATCTGGGATAAAATTTATACTTTTTTTGTGTCCCCAGAATTAAGGTCAATCACATGCAATGCAATAAAATCTGTTAAAAACTAGATAAGCATACAACAAAAAAGTAGAAAGTCTTTTGGAAAATATAAAAAGGGGTTCGATGTATTCCTGTTATTCCCTCCCATCTTCTTTATGCAATATTAGTATCGTAAGAAAGTATTATGTATTAGAAGGTAGGCTGTCTTTAATTGATATAATGAATTCAGAATGCTACCTTATCGGGCCCAGTGGTAAATACTTGGCTCTAGGAATAAAGCAAAACATTGAAACAAAATCTAGCAGCCTCTCATGGTTTTCGTAGAGTTTTTTCAGCTCCTCATCCTTCCATTCTTTGTTTGCATTATCGTGATGGCGTATATCCCTTATTATCAAGGAAAAAGTCATTTTTCAACCATAATATCGTATAGAGGTTACACGCACACATCACATGAAAAAAAAAAGAAGAGATAATTTCTTTCTTACTTGATTAATTCGTCTTGTCCAACATACATTTCATCAAGAACTTTTAACATCGGAGTTATTAAAACTCCAAGTCCTGTACCACTAGCTCCTTGGTCTTCGCCATTACTCAGGTGCATTTCAGAAAGTTGAGACTGTACACCACCCTCTGCCAAGGTGTACAAAAACTCGTATATCTGCAGCCTAAAAGGTTCACCAGATCTAATGGCTATCGTAGTAAGAGCTTGAATTGCAACAATTCGGACCTGTGTATCCACACAACATAAACACTAAGGCAGGAAACACTAATAACTCCTATCACAAATTGTCCAGTTAAAAACAATAAAAATCAAATCAAAATATATGACCAGCAAAATATAGTAGTATACCTCCCAGCTTCCACTAAACGCACACCTCTGGAGGCGAGTTAATGCACCAGCTAGGGTAGGATTGCGAGAACTAGCAGCAGCAACCATTTTATCTGCATCCAACATCATAAGTGCTGTGCCTGGTGGAGTTGCAGATTCCCATGCGTATTCTGAAGCGGCGTAGTTTGCATTTTCTCCAAGGAACCATACCTGCCCCAGTATTCCTTCTAAGATAATGTGTTGAAAGCATTAACAAATTCATGTAAAACCTTATGAGAAATGCTTACTGCTGCTTGAACCAATTTCTGCAGCGCCTGAGCTGACTTAGGATCTGATGCAGAGACCCTATCAATTGATGTCAGTCCAGCCATGGACCCCGGTTGTGGAGGTGGTAGATCGAGTACTATTGTGACTGCTTCCAGAGCTGTGTGTTTCCCGTCAGGACCAGCTCCAACAAGACATGTCTAGAAGTTGATCAGATAATAAATTGTATCAAGTAAACTATTTGAGGTAGCAAAAATTCAGCAAACTATCCCACAATAATTTGAGCCTTACAAATATACTTACAATTACGATTTTTATCCAAATATATAACTACCAAATTTAAATAATCAAGCATACAAACTTCAAGATCTCAAAATGTCCTAAACACAGTAAAAATTTGAAACAGGAAGAAATATACAACAGATGTAAGTAAATTATAATAGCTTTAGAATTACATCCACAAGAAGAGAATACCTTCCAGAGTAGCTGTAAGACATCAGCATCAATTTTCCCTGGAACTTTGGTGGCAAATATTCTGGCAATTTCGAGAAGAATAACAGCCATATCTGGAGTTGCCTATGAAAGAAAAATTGAAAAGAGTTAACTAGTCAAAAGAAAACAGTTCACATTTCACTCTTCAACAAATTTGTTCAAGTTTTTCTTCAGTTTCATCGCAATGGATGAAATTTTTCACAAGTTCCAAGGTGTAGAATTTTTCACCTCTTGTTACAAAACCTAAGTAATTAAAGAGATTCCCTACATCAGTGATCTACTACAAACATCCTACTTATAGGATTGTGGACAAACAACAGAACTGCTTAACGTTTAAACACTTCGCAAATGCATTGGAAAATCAAAAAGCCAAGAAAAATCATACTTACCTTAAAGCGAGCATGCAGAGTAAGCAAAACATCATTAACTAGAGCTGCGGGCCAACCAGGATCTGAAAGCTCTGAGGCAATGATTGATTTCAACTCATCCAACGATTCATCTGGACTTTGCATCCATATCAATGCTTTGATAACCATTGCCCGGACATACACGCACTCACATGCTACTGTTGTCCGAACAACCTCCATTAATGCAGCCAGCAAACTTGCAATTGTATCATTGCGACCAGGCCCTGCGGAT